ACCTTTTGCACCCTCTCACTCTCTCTCTCTTTTGTCTGCCCTTTATCGCCCACTAGAGCACACAGGTCATCAACCAGCTCAAGCCAAGTCATCCTATACTTTGTGTTATCACACGCACCTTTATAACTTCACTCTCTCTCTCTTTTGTCTGCCCTTTATCGCCCACTATCGCGCACAGGTCATCAACCAGCTCAAGCCAAGTCATCCTATACTTTGTGTTATCACACGCACCTTTATAACTTCACTCTCTAGCTTTCTTCTTCATGTGATTCTCGTCTGCCGTTATTACTATTAGGGTGCCGTGTAGTGTAGCGGCTAGATGCTCGCCTGCAGATTAAAAGGTTGTAGGTTCGGGTCCTGACGAAGCTGGATTTTGTTTTAAGATGACCTTGGTTTCCAGGTGGACCCAGCCTTGCAGTCCTGGGAAGTAAAGGATGCCGGCATGATGCTGACCACACCACCCACTAAGTGCTGATTGGTCTATACAATACCCGTCTAGCATGAAAGTGTGGAAAAGGGTTCTTTACTTGATTACTATCTGTCTCTGATATTGTAAACTGTTCTACTTCTCGGGTTGTCTGGTCTAGAGCAAATACAGCTAATGGAATCAATGCTACTTACATTTTAACAAAGACACAAACAACAGATTGCACAATGTATTCCTGGGCATATTTTGCTGCATCTTGCCAAGGTGCACACTACAGTAACAGCTGAATGATGAGATAACAGTGAAATATGCCAGCGAATACACTGTGCAATCTATTGTTTGTCTTCTTTCATCAAATTTACAACAAGGAAACATTGCGTTCAATAAATCATTGTTGCTTCCCAGCTCCTCAAAGTTTTCACATGAATGAATGACTGAATTTCTACCCCACTAGGACATCACACAAGCGATAAACACCCGATGACACAAAGTGCCACCATGCGGATGAGGATCGCCGTGGAGAGGTCCCAGAAACCGCGTTCAGACATTTGGCCATAATATGGCCTGCCTATATTGCGGCCCCTGGCAAAAGCCAGAGTAGGGCTTCAAATGACAAAAAATTTCGTCCTAAAAAGGACGAAATTGTGTATTACAAAGTTTTCACATGCCTTTCAAGTGTTTATATACTAAGGCCTTAAGGCATCCATGCGTAAAGTATACTTGTCTTAGAGGGAAAGTTAACATTCTGAGGATGCCAAATGCCTACTTTGTGTGGGGTTATCAAAACTGTAGCCTGCCTCCTGCCGGCTCCTAAAGGTGTAGCAGCCACTAATGAGTGGAAAGCTCAACATATGAAAGAGAGGTTAAGCAGTCATGAGCAGGACTACACAATGTCCTGGTTAAGCCCATATATCAGCTCTGCATATATGGAAATCTCCTTACATGATGGGGAATGCCTATATTATTCTCCTGCCTTCTATTCAGAACTAACAAGTTATGTCCCATAAATTTCATGCGGTTTTTTTGTGTACAGTTTTGACAAATGATCCCCTAGCATCAACAGCTGTCTATATCTCAGCACAGTTATTCTTCATTCTAAAATTTGTGACCTTCTGACAAAAAAGTTTGTACATTCATACGGCATTCACCCTGTATTTGACCCCCATCACCCACTGTAATAATCTGTCTACAGAAAATATGAATGTAACACCATATACCCATAGCATGAAAAAAGGTCCTTTTCACGCATTTAACCAAAAGGTTCCATTTATTCAGAAGTATAAAATCAACTGAATCAATTACCTGGCACAATGCAATATATTCATTATAGAAACAAAATATATATCTGGTAACTGTACACAAAACTGATACAACAGATAAGTTTGAACATTCTGATTTTCATTGATGACCTTGAGGACCAGCTGGTCAAAGGGAGAGAATGCTGGCTTCTCATGTAGGAAGCCAAGGTTCAAAATCTTGGTAAGATGATGGACAGTTTTTTTTGGGGTTTTTTTTATCGAGGACAAAAATACAATGCTAACTAACTTGCACAGTCTGTGGCCACTGCACCAGCTTTGGCCCTAAATCCTCAGGCTCAAGAACCCCCCTGTCCTACAGCTGTGGGAAATAGAGGCAGACAGGAAAAACATTTCAAAGACAACGTGACCTTTACCCATACAAAGCATACACAAAATGAGGAGAAGTAAGTAAAGGACAAGACAGATGAAGAACAAGATGGAAAGATAATGTCATCAGAGAAACTCTACAACAGTATGACATGTCTAGCCAGAACAGCTAGAAGCAGAATCTTATATCTCCCTCGATACCCAAAGTGGTAAAAGAGGAAGTCAAGAAGAAAACAATCTTTATACTTTTTTTTTTTAAAAACAATGGCTTGATGCCTGGCCACAGTGTTCTGGACATGCGTTTATCAACTTCAAACCTGAGCATCTGGCTTGTTTCTTCTTCAATTACTCATGACAAATGTTTGTCAATCTGTCTGTAACCTTCAATATTTGTTTTATAAGAGTTCAAAAGCACACACACAATGTACAAATATGTGTATTATCCTGATGATAATAAAAGAATATCAATTTAGCTGTGTATCCTACACAGACTGTTGAAGAACCAACCCCAACATTTGTTTGGAAAGGGGGGGGGGGGGGGGGGGGGGGCATACTTAAATTCATAAAATGAAGAACTGTTTGGTTTTACGAGGGAATTTTACATTTAGCCATTTGCCATTGCTCTCTGAAAAGTGGGCTATTAATACCATTGTCAAAAGTACTGAAAAAGCAGTCTTCTGCCAAATCACCCACAGCTGAAATTAGACAGTGTATGTCATAATTAGTGTTTGTAACCCCTAACCACAGTCGTGGACACAGGAATATCAAGGTATTCTAAACTTGAACATGGTGGGGGCCATACTTCGTTTGTTTGTATGTTAGTTTTAGTATCCAGAAGCCATGAGTGGTTAACCCTTAGGCTCGGTAGTATGGATATCACAACCTTTCGGCCTTGATTCCATTGTAAATACCATAAATCTGGGAGAAATGTGGCTTTTCTGCCTACCCCCGGGCAGTTCTTTGAACCTGACGTCGCAGCTTCGATCATTTGGCAGGGAACACGTTGACGATGTGATAACAAAAGCACGCAAAGGTCTATCTGCACAAGGAGTTTGTCACCAAAGGATCAGGATGTGGAGGCTCGTATATCTCAAATATGCGCTGTGATAGAAACACCACTGCATCAAGCGCTCACGTGGCTAGGTCGGGCAGAAGATGTCAAATTAAGGCAAATATGCAGCCTAACCGACATCAGGTGAATGCAAGGTCAACGCTCAGACGAAGCAGATGCAATAATCTATACAGACGGATCCGTTATACGCCAAAGAAAGAAGCGCATGGGCATTTACAGCACGCTCAGCGGGCAGAACAGTCAAAAGCCAACGGCGCCTTCTCCATGACAACCAGCAGCATGACGATGGAGGGGATGGCAGTGACACAAGCGCTTGCCTGGCTTGAAACACAAAAAATACACCCGCGTGTGTATACTCAGTGATTCAATGAGTATGATCAGGAGGGTTCAGGCAGGTTCAGTGCGAAGACAATGGCTTGCACTTACAGAAGTCCACTGGCGTGGAGTCACCTTTATTTTTGTTCCCGGGACACGCAGGCGTCGATGGAATGAAAGAGCTGACAGGTTGGCTGGATCCGCTATCACTACCGACGGTCAGCCTATGGATCATGCTGATATTATCAATGCCCTCAGAGAAATGGGAAGAATAGAGGACTTTGGTGGCAGTGAATCCACATCACTCGCCAGAATGGCAGACTTGGGAATTAAGATCGGCACAGCAAAAAACGAGACGCACACCAGCTACGCCAGAAGACTTGTTAATCAACATAGACTATTAGCTGGACGTTGGGGTTCATACTGTAGTGGTGATATCCATAACTCTAACGATTAATACATGCAAAGACCTTTGGTTTAGCTCGATGCAGACTTATAAAATAAGAAAAAGGAGGGTAAACCCAGCAGAGGAATAAATAAGATTAAACGCTTACTGGTAAACCCAGCAGAGAAATAAATAAGAAGATTAGACGCTTACCGATACCAGTTTTCTGGACTGAGAGAGCACGGCTGAGAGAAACCATATGGTAAAATGTTGAGACCAGAGCTGACGGACCGAATCCCAAACATGATATTGAAAAGTCTGCTCAAGAATAGGGGAACAGGCTGTGAGCCCTATGTGACATAAAACGAGATGATGATGACGAACCCTTTGACTATTTCTCACAAACATGACACAACTGACTGTAAGGATTCATCACCAGTGTTGTTATATATTCTCTCTGACATACTTACAAATGAATGAATGTGAATGAATGAATTCATGAAGAACTGACAAAATTACATTACAGCTAATCCACAGTGCTCAGTCTCCGTCTTTAGTAGCCAACGAAGAGCTTCCACACTGATGGCAGCAATGGTAACCTGATGAAGAACACCCATCTTTTTCCCTGCAGACAAATATTGTCTAGATCTTCAACCAACTCCTTACTGCATAGGTCTTGCCAAGTATGAATGCTCTGTTTGTGCACTATTAACTCAACTGAGATAACAGCCATATCATCGTCAACACCAGCTACCACTTTTGCCACGGGGATGAAGAGTCTGTGGACCAGGGCATGCCTGGTAGCAGCGGCTATTGCTATTCCGATTAGATGTAAAATGTCTTTAATGTTATCAATCCATCCTTTCCTTGGGCAGCTTCTTAGAACCACGGCATGATCAACTGATAACAGTCAGTAGACGATCAATTCCAGTACATGATCATTTCCATTTTCTTCAGGAGCAGGGTCACTATTACAAACTGGTTCCCTGTCATGAAGAAAACATCACAGATGCTTCCATGCTGGCAGTTTCTAGGGTGACATATTTGTGTGAATACCACATGGCCAAGTATAAGCACAAGCCTAGGCCACAGTGTCCATCAGGATGAAATACTGAAATCAGCAATGTAGTCAAGAACAAAACACAGCCAATCTGGCAAATTCCAGCCAGGATTTAGCTATAAAACCAGCAAGCCATTGACGTAGCATAGAGGAATCAAAATTCCCACAAAAACCACAATGTTCCGCAGCAAAGCCTTGAGGTCTTGTGGAACGGCGTATGAACACAGAGTCTGGCTGATGTCATTGATTTCATGGCAGACAACAATGAAGATGAAGGAGGTGATGATGACGTTGAGGACCGGGTAGCTGGGAATGAGGACCAGCACACCGTGGGTGTCTGCTGCCATCCAGATATGATACTGACTGATGAATAGCTGCGGAGGAAATACAACAGAAAATGAATCAAGCTTCAGGTAACAAATAAAAAATAGAAACATCAAATAAAATGCCCCTTGTGGGTTTCAGGGCCATACTGTGGGGGAAGGGGGAAGAATAGAATACAGAATAGACAGTTTGCATACACTTAAGGGGTATCAGTTTAATACCCAAATACAACAAATGCCTGCAGAAGTCGGATGTGTTGGCCGAAAGGTGCAAATATCGCAGCCATGCTGTAAAGGGACAAAAATCCAATTACAGCATCGGATGAACACAAAAGAAGAAGAAGATATAAAGGGCAATTAACCAGAAAAAGCTGTTTTTTCTCGGCAATCACAGGTTTCTGATGACATGAAGTCTTTGGAAACTGGCCAAAACAGTTATATAACAGCTTTTGTATTGACTGCAAACTGCACAATATTTAGACATGGTGGGAGTTGATTACATTTACCATAAAGAAAGAAAGATATTTTAACTGGGTGAAAAAAATCACATTAAAAAGAAAAAAAGTGTCACATCTTCATTATATCATTTTGTTCCTTACGGCTGTCAACAAAACTACATTTATCATGATCAATGAGAATTACAGCAGTAATTAATTTCTTAGCCTATTAATGATTACCTTTGCCCAAAAGTAATCTGAAGTGGGTTTTAAAAATAAAATTAAAAAACAGAAATGGATGTTTTTAAGCATCTCAACATCCACAAAAAAGCTGTGATCTTCATTCTTCCTGTCAGTATGGTAGTCTAGCCCTTTGACTCGCTTGACTTGAAACAAAAAAAAAAATAACAATAATTTAAGGCTCCAAATTTCTTCTGCTCCTTCTTTTCCTCCAGTTTCTTGGGACAGTGTTTCAGAAAATTGTTAAGGCTGTAATTCCTTTTAATGAAATAAAAAAAAAAAAAGTCATTTTTAACACTCTAACAGGCTGAAAAGGTTAAAAAAATTGTGTAGGTTAGTATGAAGGAGTCAAGGCACATGTAGTTACTAAAGACAAAACAATGCTGCACAGACAAGGACATAATGTAGTTATAAAAAACCAACACAAATGAGGCACCACTAACCTCTAGAGAGATTTTGCCAAACCAGGAAAAGAAAGCACTATAACGTGTCCGCAAACATCCTGGTATATTCCGCAGCAATATGAAAGAAACAATCTGGCAACATACAACAAAAATAATTAACTGTGATAAAAACTGTTGCAAAATAATGAAAACTAGAGAAATGTAACATTTCTTCTTCTTCATGTTCACTTTCTTCTTCTTCATGTTATTTTAAAAGTTCTGGTTGTTCGTCCACTTCTGGACTTTTAGTCTTGGCACAGAATTTCTATTTTGTGTGCACTTCAAGTTCACAAATCTGCCTTATTTGCATGCAAACAGCTGGTTCTCATTTCTCAAGCAGACGCACTCAAACTCAGAAGAAAATACCCCTAATCAGTCAAGTTTTAAAGTATCCCAGTTAGACAGTGGGTTTATTTTGCACACCCCCCCCCCCCCCCCCCCCCCTTCCACAATGGGGCTCACAAACCCACCCAGTGATGGTATTCTCTGGAAACCTGATATCTGGACATACAATGTGGCAATTTGTAGGCAGTGATCACTGAACAGCTGCTGGCAAGCCAATGTTAACTCGTGTGTCTGTTTCTCTTGCTTTTAATCTCCTAATGGAGCATCTTAAAAGGGACATTCGGACACACCTATTTTTTTTCTTCAGGTCATAAAGTGGGAAGCCAGTTCAAAGTTTACTGTGGCCACGTGCTGTTTCACAACTCCTTCAGGAGATTATGGTCTGGAGTTTGTTCAGCATGAAGTCATAGGAAAGAACTGCGTGCCTGATACCTGTGAGGGAGCTCCAATTAAAAGCCTTAAAAGTGAGATAGAAATAACAGTAATCATGTCATTGTCTTATCACCTGTCAATGTTGTTGTTAAGGTTGTCAAGAGTGTTAAGCTCATGGCATCATGGTGCAGATGAACATCATGACGTCATTATGACAATTTTAAGATGGACATCCCCTTTTGATATGCACCAAAGAGAAGAAGCATTTGGTTGTCCTTTTTTTTTTAACACTGGAGGGATGAAACCAATAGAAATCCATCGACAAAAGAAGATCCTGTATGGTATGCATGTCTGTCAGTCCAGCAAGTGTATAAGTGGAGTAGGAAGTTACAAAATGGCTGCAATCAATGATAGAGTCCTCCGATCCTCCACAGTTCCACCAGGTTGAAATATCTAGTAACACCTGTTGTGTGTTGATTAATCAAATATCTTGTGCCATCAGCAATAGGTGCTCATGTCTAGCAGCTCCAGGTTGTATCCCCATATCTGCCAGCCTTTGCAACAGAGATCCTCAACATAATGACCACAGTGTTGTTCTTCTTCTTCTTCTTCTGTGCTTGCACTTAAAAGAGTGGCTGGATCATTGTGTTGAGGTTTAACACTAGGCTGTGAGATCTGCATCTTTCAGCATAGCACAAGCACATCTGATTTCCTTGACTCCCAGGCCGACCCAGCCTTGAGTGGGTACCGGGTGCAGTCCCGGGAAGTAAAGGTGGCTGGCGTGATGCTGATCACATCACCCGCCTTGTGCCGAATAGTTTATAAAAATATAGGTCTAGCCCTATATGCCTAAAGGCGCGGAAAAGGGACTTACTTTTTTTACATCTGATTTCAGAAAACACTTAGTCACTCTATTCCCCCACATTTGTTAAAGGGTGTTGGGTCAGTTCTTCCCCTTCCCCTTAAATGGAACCACAAAACTCACAGGGGGAAATAACTGTGATTGTGATAAAGATGAGGACAGTGTCAAATGACTGTGTCGAAGGTGGTTACGATGATGACTGATAATTTTGAAGACAAAGGCTACCCTCACATGTTCATAGATACAGTCATCAGTCATCTCATGATTTTGTTTACTTACAGGTAAAAACACCAGGTAGGAATGAACTTCATTGCACTGGACTTTACTACTGCATAAGACAGAGAAGATGGTGTAACTCTGAAACCAAATGGAAGACAATAGTACAGACAGTTGTTCTGCCACTGTTAAATGATGCATCTTCAACACATCCTCAAATATTCTGCAAATATGGGGAAAGGGGAGGGGGGTTGTAGTGAAGTAGCTAAATGCTTGCTTGCTCCCCCTGAGGTTCTGGGTTCAAATCTACGTCGAGTCAAATTTTTCTCTTTAAAACTGAACTTGGCTCCCAGGTCCACTCAGCCTGAAATGGGTACCAGGTAATGTCCTGGGAAGTAATGGAGACCGCGGTGATGGTGAACACATCTCCATCAGAATACTGACGGGTCTGTACACAAATATGAGTCCAAATATGGTGTAAAATGGGTCCTTTACTTCTACTAATTTAGTGTCATGTCATGAGAAGGAGAAAACTGGAGTACATCATGACAGTGGGAAAGTTGGAGGGAAAAAGAGGCAGAAGGAGACCAAGGGAGAAGATGCTGGACAGTGTGAGTCATGGTATGGAGAATCATCTGTGTCAGAACTGACTGAAATTACACCAGACAGAAGGGTATGGAGAGACACGACTGCCAAGAGACATGACCACCACCAACGACATGGCACAGAGGATCATCTGTGTCAGAACTGACTGAAATTACACCAGACAGAAGGGTATGGAGAGACACAACTACCAAGAGACACGACTACCAATGCAACACGGCATGGACTTGAAGAAGATGACTGGTTTCAGTCCTTGTCTTCCTCTAATTTCTTCATTTTTATTTTGATTTCTTCTTGTTACGCCATCAGCTCTTCAAAGACATCTCGTACCAGTTGTTTCAATTTTGCGTTCATTTGTTCTAGTAAGGGTTCATGTTTTAGCACACACAACATATCATTGTGTCTCAGCAATCATAAATTAGCACACATAACATATCTTTATGTCTCAGCAATCATAAGTTAGCACACATAACATATCTTTATGTCTCAGCAATCATAAGTTAGCAGACATAACATATCTTTATGTTTCAGCAATCATACATTAGCAAACAAAACATATCTTTATGTCTAAGCAATCATAAATTAGCAAACAAAACATATCTTTATGTCTAAGCAATCATAAATTAGCACAAACAACATTTCTTTATCTCTCATCAAATCATACATTAGCACACATCCAACATATCTTCATGTCCCAGGTACCATAAATTAGCATACATATCTTTATAACCCAGATGACTTAAATAAAAACAAACAATACCTCTTCACATCCCAGTTATACAAAAATAAGCTGACACGACATCATCTTTTTATTGACAATTTTAAAAACAAAAATGTTTAGCCCCGACAGCGAGTATTATACACTTACCGTGATGCCGATCACAGACAGCACACACAGGGCCCAGGAAATGGGATTGGAAAAGAGATTGTCTGGCCTGTCATCTTGAATAATGTTGTAATTCACAAGAACTTTGTAGCCAAAGGCAAACAGCATTCCATACACTGTACTCTGTGAAGGAGTTATGGAAAAACTGCACTTAGACAGAACAAACAAGACTAATACTATTAAAAAGACAAACAGTCAATATCAGCAAGTTAAATACTATCTGTGAGGCATAAAAATTAAAATAGGCAGGATAAATCTTCTTCTTACAGTCCATGCAACGTGGCAATGGTAGTGACTATCTACAACTTTCAGTCGAGGTACTTCAAATTAGGGCTGTACCGAATATCCGTTTCGCATTCGCTTCGGGGCCGAATAGTGGACCTATTGACTATTCTGTATTCGGCCGAATAGTTGCGGTCGGGCCGAATACGAATAGTAGTTACCTTACACCCGTTTCAGCATACACGACCTTAACACTGACAACATGGAACGACTGGTTTTGTTGAAAGCTAATGCAGTTTTCATGCATTAATTAAGCTGTCAGTGACAATTTCCAAGTTTGGTTACTTGTTATAATACTTAGGATTCTTTCATTCCTAGTTATTAGTTACCAAAGACTGACTGGAGGATGCAAAACATAAAATTTTTTAAAATTGTTACTATTCTGTAAGAATACTAACTAGACATGGAAAGAAAAAAACTCCGGCCACATCCAAGTCGATAATATGAAAATCAAAGAAACGGAAACATATGCTGAGAGAAGAAATAGAATCTAGAAATAAAGTATACTATGCCCTTCAACATCTGCTAAAGTCAAAGTGTCTGTCTCGCAACACGAAGATAAAAATATATAAAATGTTGATAAGACCAGTCGTTTTATATGGCTCTGAAACTTGAAGCAGAAATTAAAAAGACAAGGCCTTATTACAGGTTTTCAAAAACACTATTACAACAAATCTTTGGACCCATCAAAGATGCTAACAGCGGGGAATGGAGAGTCAGAAGCAACAATGTAACACATAATCTGTTTAAATCACCATTGATCACTGGCATCATGAGAGCTAACAGACTAAAATGGTTGGGGCATATTGAAACAATGTCAGAAGACAGAGAAGTAAAATTGTATACACCTGAGAGAGGAATGGGCGTAGACCATGAGGCAGACAAAAAAAGAACATCGAGAGATAATGTCCAGCCAGACCTGCAAACAACTGGTGTCACAAATTGTGAAGATAAGGCCAGTCAGAGAGATGAATGGAGACGAGTGATATCTGCAGCAGTAAACCTCAAGGGCTCAGAATGCTAAAGAAGAAGATGACTATTCTGTGCTACTTTATGTGAAGTAAAAGTTCAGCGTACATTTGACATTATGAAGTGTTTTTTAAAAATACACTATATACTATTTGTATTTGGCCGAATAGTGAAAATCCCTATTCGGTACAGCCCTACTTCAAATCACTTCTGACACAGATGATCCGCCATGATGTCAAACTGTCCAGCATCTTTTGTCTGTCTCCCTTTGCCCACTTTCCCTCCAGCTTTTCCGCCATCTCAATGTATTCCAATTTTCTCATCATCACAAAGAGTGCCTCCTTCTGATGTGGACAATCAGTTCTCTTTGTAAGTCTGTTTCTTTCAAGACATCTTCATTACTCTTTTTATCTGTCCACTGTATTCTTATAATTTGTTTAACAAAACAACATCTCAGCCACTTCCAAAAAGTTTTTAATTATTTCTTCCAAATGTCAATGATTCACTTATATACGGTTATGATTTATATAGCTCTTGAGAATTCTCTTTCTCATCTCAAATGCCAAAGACTGCACAGAATGATATTCATTTTATAAGCATATTTTAATTATTATATACAAATTAAAATACAGAAATGAGGAACTATAATTAAAAGAAACAAGATAAATTTGTACTACCCACGAAAGTCACCCCATCTCGTCAGCAGCAATATTTCATTGCTGTTTGAAATTAGGGAATTTAAAAAAAAAATTTTTTTACAGTCTCAAACAAATACTAGGTCCTGCAACATTTAGCTGAGGAGGTCTGCAAAGAAGTCTGCTGGGAACAGATTAAAAGAATTTGGAATGAATAAAAGGGAACAGGAACATAAGGTGTGGATAACGCCTGGAACACTTGAAAAAAAAAGATTTGAAGAAAGGAAAAGCTAAAGAGTTAGACATAAAAAAACATTTTAAAAAATCAAAATCAAAGCTGCAGGGGCTAAATAAAATACAGACGCTAATAGAAGGAGGCGAATAAGGGCTGATAAAGGGAAATATTTAAATGAATTATTCATAATCTGCCACAACAAACAATATACTCACAAATCTGTCCAACTGCCAGCGAAATCTCCACTCATGTATAGAATCATCAGAGGTAACAAACAGGGCTTTGATGGGACGTATCAAAAACACTTTTTCAAAAAATACCTGCAAGTAAACATCAGAGAAGAAAGATGAGACTGACCTCCCTCTTCTTCAGCATTTGCCCATAAAGGTCAACTGTCACACTGTCATGTTATTTACAGCTTGGATTTCTTCTATTTCTTTTTGTTCTCCCTGCCAGTAGTTTTCAGAAGAGAAGACCCACAGGCCTCCATAAAGTCTGTGGTGCGATATAAGTCTACCACAGATCCATACAGCTTGGTTTTCAATGGAATGCTAGTCAGCCAAATCTGGGATCTTTCTTCTGCATGTAGAGACAGTGTGTCTGCAGCACATGTTCAACATTCTGTGGTGCCTGTCTACTTGGGCACAATTGTAAATCCCCAGTTTTGAAGTTTTTGTACATACAGCTGCAGTCTGTTGTGTCCAGTATGCAGTCTAAACATAGTGGTCTGCTTCATTCATGTAAGAAGAAGGTTGATTGGGTCTTCAGGATTGTGTTCTGATAACGCTGCTAGGCTGTCACATCTGCACCTATCAGCCTAAAACATCCAATTTCAGCAAACCCTGAATTAATCTGGACAAAAAAGGCACAAAGAATACATTGCACAATTTACTGCGTTTTAAATTGGCTGCATCTTGTCACGTGCACACTACAGTAACAATTAAATAAATGAAGCAAATAAGTAAATCCTTTATAACTGAAGTAAAATTCAACCACACTCAAAAGCAACTGCCTGTTTTACAAGGGCAACCGCAATGTGAGAATCATGTCTCTCTATTTACAAAGTTCAGGACAGAGGTAACGAATAGTGGCAGCTTCAGTTAATCACCATGCATGAGATGTTGGTGAAAAGAGGGGTTTATTATTTTTTTCTTCAAAGAATCGAGCCATGGGACCAATATGGGGAAGGTTAGTTATCAATAACACTCAAAATATACCAGAAAATAAATACTGGAACAAAACATTTACTTAAAGACTTTTTAAAAATACTCTTTTAATAAATGCCAGAAGGCAAATCTTCCTGTATGGGTTAAGGCCCCACTGGAAAGGAAACAAGAATAGACCAAGTGTCTCTTATAAGCATGTCATAAATGCAACTAATCAAGGATTAGTGGAAATTGGATGTGCTGGGCCAAAATGTGCAGAATAATGATTCTGTGCTGCAGACATGCCTCTACGTGAAGTAGAAAGATGCCAGGTCTGGCCAAACTGGCATTCCGACGGAACCAGTCTGTATAGATCAGTGGAGGACACATGTCACATCACAACCTTTCCAGATGCATGTAGCTTTTTCTCTTTAAAAAAAAAAACCCACTGGAGGAGAGAACGAAAAGAACAGGAAGATACATACTGCTAAAGATTGAAATTTTTGGAGGCGTACCAGAAGATTGCAATTTTGAGGAGGCGTACCTGGAGATTGCAATTTTGAGGAGGTGTACCTGGAGATTGCAATTTTGAGGAGGCGTACCTGGAGATTGCAATTTTGAGGAGGCGTACCTGGAGATTGCAATTTTGAGGAGGCGTACCTGGAGATTGCAATTTTGAGGAGGCGTACCTGGAGATTGCAATTTTGAGGAGGCGTACCTGGAGATTACAATTTTCAGAGGCGTACCCGGAGATTGCAATTTTTGGACATGTACGATCGCATATGACAGTCATCAATGCATTAGATTATGATGATTAATAATGAGCACAATTGTTAAAAACCAGTTTCACCTGCTTATTTATTCTTACCTCAGACAGGTAAAACAAAGATATAGCCACAATCAAAGCCACAAACTTCAGTATCATGTACAAATAATGAATAGGGTTTGCTGAAAGAAAACAATAAAGACACAAATGTCATGAAATTTGATTACTGATTGACAATACATTATAGACGCATTACATATATCAAAAGTGTCTACTGTAAGAGACTTCTAGTCCAATATGGCAGATAGGCTGGTTGTCCGTTAAATCTTTCAAGGGCTATTTACTTGTGGCCACGGCATGCTGATACATTTCCCCATGTGTGAACTGAAAGTAAGTAGCTCTATTGCCCAGCTACTGAGATGAGTGTATGGTGCAAGACTGTGAGCTGTGGGTTTCATGTGGAATGCTTTTCAACTATGCCCAAGTTGGTCTGTGTTATGAACTGCATATTTAACCCTTTCGCTGCTATGGACGTCTTTTCCCGATTTCCCGTACGCTGCTACGCCCGTCTTTGGACGTTATTTTTTTTCTTGACTCCCAGTGCTATGGACGTCCTAAGCCGTTTTTGGACTTTTCTTACAGATTTATGTTACCCTCGTATTTAATTGGCTGAAGGGCAATATACATTAGCTATATTTAGATTAAACTGACCCATTTACATATGATTAAAAGCACTGGCACGTACTTTTAGGTGTGTTTAAGGCGTGTTTTCTGCATTTTGCGATAGCCCGTTGCTTTGTTTACCGTGACAGCGTGGTCGGTGATCTGTGTATTTTGTGCCCTGATATATATTTGTGCTTTTGGATTATTCTACACTTAGTACAAAATGGCAAGAAAACTTGTTAAAGTTGATGAAGAATTGATGGAGTTTCTGTCAAAAGTGATAGCGACGATGACTTTGAAATGTGTACAAGATTTAACTAGGCCATCAGTATCGACTGCTGAAACCGGCGTGTCCAAAAAAAGCTGTTTGCCTGTCCGACGTCCTCATGTCGGAATCAGAGAGCAGCGACAATGAAGCGCCATCAAAACGGCAATAAATTGATCAGTTATCTTGATGAACCGATGATTTGAAACCAGTAGTGCATGATTTTGATGACTCAAGCTCTATCTGTATTTCTGCTACTGTAAATTCAAACAGTTAAGTCACTAAAATTTCTCGTCTTTCCCGATGGACAGACACAGATTCGGACGAACTAATTTTTTTTTCCTGTCTGTCTGCTAATGCTTAGAACAAAGAAACTCAAAATAGAGTACTTGAGCAAAGACTGTTTGCTAAAAACTCCCGTAAAATAATGTCGAGGGACATATTTTTACTATTGTTGAGAATCTCAAACATTTTTTTAGACAACAGTGCTCATGCAGGCGGCGATAGACTACAAACTTAGACACATTATTGATAGTCTGCACATATCGTTCATTGTGATCATTTACACAGCGCAATACGTCCAGCGGTAGCATAGTGTAATTGGTATCACGTTCGCCTTAGAATCGGAGGGTCGTGTGTTCAACCCCCGAAGTTTTTTTTTTTTTTTTAATTAATTGTAAATTTTCCTTTGAGTTCCTGCTACTTTTCAGCAACGGACGACTTGAGTATATTATTATGAATATTTTTTTTTAATTATTTTGGTATGTAATAACATGGTGACTACAAGTAAATATGATTAAAGTGGCAGCCGTGGTAGGTTCGGCAATCAAATTTTGGGATACGTACTGGGAACAGTTCCTCCCATTAATTCCCCCCCCCCCAACCTCCGTTAGTCAAGTTTGTGGGGCACCATCGTGCCTGACTTGTCACCACTCGGACCAACCACACAACTCCTCAGGGTAAAAATTTTTAGGTGAACAAAACATAGCCCTCACCGCGGACGCATCTTTTGCGTTTAGAGGATAGAAAAGTATTGCGCACAGCAGAGACTTTTTTTTCCACATTGCTTAGCACAGGGAGGACAACTATTTCCGGGAACGTAGCAGCGAAAGGGTTTAAAAAGACCATGGAACTGGCTGTGCCTTTAACAGTAATGTGTGTGTGAAACTACTAACTTATTGTGACAGGCCTCAACTGACAAAGAACTGGCAGAATGTTGGTGTTGGCATCTCTGCCTGTTGGCTTATATACTTAATGTGTGCACATGCTCTTGGAAGGAGTGGGTGGCTGAACAGTTAAGATCTCTAGAGCTCTGTTGGGGCAAACAAAAACCCTAACCCCGAGTCCATGATGTCAGCACCAGCCAGGCAGCCCTAAATCCTCAGGCTCAAAGATATCTCCCCCCCACCCCCCTCAATAATGCAAAAGTGGTAAATACAAGCAATAAATGGCAGCTGGATTTGTATTGTGCAAATCTTCTAAATGTGAGCTGGCCTTGCTCGTCATAAGAAAAAAAAAAATGCTGTTGGCTTTGTAAGGACTTGTCTGTTCACTCTAACATACAGATGGCAACAGGAATTCTGTGTGGTGTTCACTGGCATAGAAAGGGAACAATTATGGGAAGATCAGTTTGCTGTGAAGTTAGAACTTAAGTTTGCTGTAAAGTTGGAGCTGCGATTTACAACTAACAAATATTTCCATAAAAAGTCTCTTGGCCAGTGAGTTTTAAGAATAGTTTAACAAAATATATTCTACAGAATCTTAAAAATCCAGTACAGGTGGATCCTCGCTTAACGAGCATAATTAATTCCAGAATCATACTCGTAAAGCAAAACACTTGTTATGCAAAACTATTTTTCTCATATAAATTAATGTAAAATACGATAATACTTTCCATGTCAAAAAAATACAAAATGTTATGTATAATGTTTATTTAAAGAAAATTATATACATATTGTTAAGGAGAGTAGATCATCTTCATCTTTTCTTCTACGGCGGAACAAACTCACCTGGAATACAAATTCAATTTGGAAAAAAAAATATTTGAAATAATTATGAAACATATTTAATTATTTTTTACTAGAAAGATGTCCAGAAACATTTGTTTTTGCTGACACTTCAAGATTTGGCGAAAATGCGACACAGCATTATCATTAAATAAATTTGCAGCGCGCATAGCCACTTTCTTATTAGGGTGATGCTTCTCAATGTAAGATGCAACAATTTCCCATGCTTTCAACATTTCTCTTATTTCGCCAGAAGATTTTTGCTTTTCTGTTACCTCCTCCTCTTCTGACAAGCTTTCCTCCAAAACTTCTTGCTGTGAAACACAATGCAACTCCATAAGCTCTTCCGTGGTCAGCTCTTGGCTGTGCTCTTCCACAAGCTCTTTGATATCACTGTTATCCACCTTCAATCCCATGATAGTGGCCAAAGACACAATTTCGTTGACTACAGGTTCCATAGTTACTGAATCGAACCCCTCAAAGTCACATTCGACAACGTTCTCTGGCCAAAGCTTCTTCCAAGCAGAAGTTGGGGTTCTCTTGGTAACCCCTTCCCCTGCTTTGTCAATCATCTTGAGGCAGGCAACGATGTGGAAGTGATTTTTCCAAAACTCTCTGGAAGTGAGGTTGGTCCCTTCAGTCACCTGAAAACAATGCTCGAAGTGTGCTTTTGTGTAGAGCTTCTTAAAGTTATAAATAAATTGCTTGTTCATGGGCTGGAGTAACAGAGTAGTGTTGGGAGACAGAAACTGGATCTTGATGAACTTAAATTCTTCAGGAAGGTCATCTTGTAGGCCCAGAGGATGGACAGGAGCATTATTCATAACACGCAAGACATGGAGTGGCAGATTCATCTCAAGCAAATATTTTTTCACAGAAGGACGAAACACTTCCTTGATCCACTCAGTAAAAAGGTCTCGTGTCCCCCAAGCCTTCCTGTTGGACCTCCACATCACATTTAGCCTGTTCTTCTGGATTTTGCATTTATTGCAGGCTCATGGAGTTCCTGAATGGTAAACAAGTAGTGTTTTAATTTTCAAATTGCGGCTTGCATTGGCACAAAATAGCAACGTTAGATGGTCTTTCTTTGGCTTGTGGCCGGGCAATTCATTCTCCTCTGCTGTTATATACGTTCGCTTTTGCATCTTTTTCCAGAAGAGCCCTGTTTCGTCACAATTAAAAACCTGTTGCGGCAAGTAACCTTCAGAATCTACAAGCTTCTTGAAATCGCCGATGAAGTTCTCTGCTGCTTTTGTGTCAGAACTTGCTGCTTCACCGTACCTCACAACGCTGTGTATACTGGTTTTCCTCTTAAACTTCTCGAACCACCCACGGCTTCCCTTAAATACTTCTTCTTTGGGCGTTTATGATCCTGGCGTCTTCTTAACGAAATCGGCAAAAAATATTTTCGCCTTCTCACAAATGATGTTCTTGTTAATAGTGACACCTTGCAATTGCTTTTTATTTATCCATGTGAAAAGCAACCTTTCAACATCGTCGAGAATACATAACCATTAAGCAGATATTCTTGTCACTCCCTGTGCAGCATATATCTCCTTAATCTTGTCCTTGTTCTTGAAGATAGTGCAAATCGTTGATGAAGACCGATTGTATGTGCGTGCTAGATCAGCCACGCTTACACCTCGTTCTCGCTTTTCAATGATTTGATGTTTAATTTCTATGGTTATTTCTACTCTCCTACGGCTGTTTTCATCGCGGACATTTTGCAAAGGTTTGAGAAAATGTGTGACCACAAGCGACATTATGATACTACTGGAATGAGTGATAAACACAGACTGATGTAACATGCGCACAATCCGGGACTTTCCCTCACCTCGCCACTCATTATGCGAAACATCGCTTGTTAAGCAAGTCATTCTTTTACAATTAATTTTGCTCGTTATGCGAATTACTCATTATGAAAGGTGCTCGTTAAGCAAGGTTCTACTGTATATTCATTTCAGGCTTCAATCTTTACTTTTATATCAACCAATAATTTCATGCTTCAGTTTTTACTTTTTTACATCAACCACTAATATCATCTTCAGGCTTTTACATCAACCACTAATTTCAGCCATTTATCCATCCCAGCTACAAAAGCTACAAACTACAGTTACAACTCATGCTCCCAGCAGGAAGTATACTAAAACATTACTAAACATCGCAGTTGCCCATTCTACCAGCCCCAATGATAAATACGGTAGCCACCAAATACTCACAGTAGCCACTAAATACTCACCTTCAGCAGACTGGCTGGTAATGTGTGGAGGGATGGCCATCACCAGATATACAACAATAAACCAGAAAGACACCAGCGGAACAAAGTAGTAAAACTGGTACGGCCGATTCATGGTAAAACATAAGGTAACCACCAGAATATTTATTCGGAAGAGGACCTGTGGAAACAAACAAATGTTGATTTGTATTGAGATATCTGTGTGGAAACAAACAAATGTTGATTTGTATTGAGATATCTGTGCGGAAACAAACAAATGTTGATTTGTATTGAGATATCTGTGTGGAAGAACAAACAAATGTTGATTTGTATTGAGATATCTGTGTGGAAGAACAAACAAATGTTGATTTGTATTGAGATATCTGTGTGGAAGAACAAACAAATGTTGATTTGTATTGAGATATCTATGTGGAAGAACAAACAAATGTTTATTTGTATTGAGATATCTGTGTGGAAGAACAAAACAAATGTTGATTTGTATTGATATCTGTGTGGAAGAACAAACAAATGTTGATTTGTATTGAGATATCTGTGTGGAAGAACAAACAAATGTTGATTTGTTACTATGGTATTTGCATGGGAAAACACAGGAATGTTGATTTTTAATTGAGTATTTGCATGAGGAAACACAGGAATGTTGATTTTTGATTGAGTATTTGCATGAGGAAACACAGGAATGTTGATTTTTAATTGAGTATTTGCATGAGGAAACACAGGAATGTTGATTTTTAATTGAGTATTTGCATGAGGAAACACAGGAATGTTGATTTTTAATTGAGTATTTGCATGAGGAAACACAGGAATGTTGATTTTTAATTGAGTATTGGCATGAGGAAACACAGGAATGTTGATTTTTAATTGAGTATTTGCATGAGGAAACACAGGAATGTTGATTTTTAATTGAGTATTTGCATGAGGAAACACAGGAATGTTGATTTGTTACTATGGTATTTGCATGGGAAAACAGGAATGTTGATTTTTAATTGAGTATTTGCATGAGGAAAGAGACAGTTTGCATGAGCTGGAGATGTGATCTAGCATATGTAAAAACTGATCACTCTGTAAATGCTCACTCTCTGTACTAAACATCTATATAAGTAAACAAAATTTATTATTATAGAAAAGAGAGCTGGGGGGGGGGGGGGGGGGGGGGGGGGGGGGTGGGGGGGGGGGGGGGAGAGAGAAGAAGAAGTGAGAGAACAAGAATAGACCCACTGCCTCCCTAACAAACATGTTGTAAGAGCGACTAATCAGGGGATTACTTCGAAGCCAGAATACATCTGCCTGAGAGGCAAAGAACCAACAGTCTGCATTCATATATGTAATGAACAAGCATCTGCCTGAGAGGCAAAGAACCAACAGTCTGCATTCATATATGTAATGAACATGCATCTGCCTGAAAGGCAAAGAACCAACAGTCTGCATTCGTATATGTATGAACAAACAAAATACCTGTTCCCTTTACTAAAACCCATATGTGGTCAAACAAAATACCTACTCCCTTTAATAAAACCTCTTATGTGGTCAAACAAAATCTGTTCCCTTTACTAAAACCATATGTGGTCAAACAAAATACCTGCTCCCTTTAATTAAACCTCTTATGTGGTCAAACAAAATACCTGTTTTTTTTTAACTAAAACTTATATGTGGTCAAACAAAATACCTGTTTTCTGTACTAAAATATATGTATAAAGATAAAAGTAAAGTCGGGAAATGTGAACCAGCATCATTGCACACGGTTATAAACCATAAGTGCTCTGCCATCAGTACGGACAGCCTGTGTCGCCGTCCGCACGCAACTTCGTATCTACAGCGACGTTCCTCCATTTACCCCAGAGTGTTAACTCTAGAACCCATTTCCTAGAGGCTGGGTGAACCCCGGGAACCGCCTGGTTTTAAAAACTGGCCGTGGGCTGCAGCAAGTCGCAGCTTGATTTGAAAGCGAGTCTCCTATCAACTGCGCTAATGCCCCCCTCCCCCCCAAAAAAAAACATATGTACGAACAAACAAAATACCTGTTCTCTTTACTAAAACTCATATGTGGTCAAACAAAATACATGTTTCCTTTACTCAAACACCTCTGTAAAAACAAAACATTCCTCCTTCCTTTATTAAATATATTTTCCCTTGCGCCCGGAGAACTGCAAAACTAACCCCTCCATTTGGTTCCGATTTCCCCGTAAATGTCACTTTTCCAGCTTGTCTATAAATACCTTGTTTATGAGATGCACAGTTAATGCTGTTTTTGTGCCTGCGCAAATGTTTAGAAGGTTAGGATATGAATACATTACCTAAAAAGACATTCAGGGGGGTTTCCCTTTCAGTCAAATATATGTAAACTTTTCATGTAAGCCTCATTGATGGACGTCATAGTAAGAGTCCATGAGTCAACTGATATATATGGTTTTTTTTTTTTAAAGGCCCCAGAAATGTATTCCATTTAATGCTTCAAGCTGTTAGTTTAACTGATCATTTCCTTCACACATCTTTATATACTGGGGGGGAGGGGGGGAATATAGATAAATATATTTTTTATGAATTTAATAGTGACTGTGTAAAACTGTTATAAAAAGAAAGATTTTTTTCTGTAATTCCAAATGGGTCATACCTCCCCAACCTCTTTTAAAGTGTTCCAATGGGTGTTTAACATTTGTATTGAAAAATAAAATGCCTGTTCCCTTTACTAAAACATATGTTCCCTTTATTAAACATTAAATGTCTGTTACTTTCACAGAAACATTTGTGTGGACAAAGAAAATGATAAATTCTCACAATATACACCAGCAAATGGTTCAGGCAAAATGGTGTAATCAACAAAGATGTAATCACAAGAACAAAAGGAATGTTTCACAGTGATACTATAAAACCTGACAATCTACATTACACAAGTAAACTGTGTAGCCATTACAAAAGGTTATAAATCGAAAGAGTAAATCATTTAGCCATTACAAAAGCTGATAAGTCACAATGGTTAATAACATGGCCAATATAATGCTGAAAAATCAAAAGGATAAATAATCTGGCCACAACAAAAGCTAAGTCGCAAAGGTAAATCACAAGGCCATTATAAAAGCTAAGTCAGAAGGGTTAATCACACTGCAATTATAAAAGCTGATAACTCAAAAAAAAAAGGAGGGAAAAATGCCATTATAAAAGCTAAATTGCAAGGGTCAAACACACGGCCATTATAAAAGCTAATTTGCAAGGGTCGAACACACGGCCATTATAAAAGCTAATTTGCAAGGGTCGAACACACGGCCATTATAAATGCTAATTTGCAAGGGTCGAACACACGGCCGCTATAACAGCTAATAAGCTGCAAGGACAAATGAAGATTGCAAGGGCTGTAATCCTGAGGATTTAAGTCTACATGGCTAGTGCAGTCGCCACAAACAGCACAGGTTAGAATTTGTCTTTCTGCCCAGAACACATAAACAATCTCTATGCCTGAGTATCAAACCTCAGTGTCTTGCAATACAGCCCAGCACTCTAACCCCTCAGCCAGACTGCCAGAGTTTTATGCAGCCAACTAACGAACTGCTATGGTAAATGGGTAAAAGATATAGAGATCAGCCTCTACCATGATATAAAGATGTCTGCAAGTGGGACATGAAGGATACAGGTACTGAGACAGATTCGTGGAAACAAAATGTCATGGACTGTGCTGCAAGGAGAGGAGAAATCAGGAAGAGAATGGGAATAAAGGAGAAAATGATTGCAGATAAGTTGAGAGCTGAGTGTCTGAGACAAAACACACTACAACATACATGCAACGGTAACAGTCATCCTGAAATCCCATGCTTAAATTGTGGAAGACTTTCCTTAATAAGAGTGAGCACTGCTGATCCCGCCTGCCATCGTCATAGGCAGTGACTCCCAGGAACTTTTTACAGCACAATATAACATTATTGTCTGGGAAGACAGAAAGGTGCCAACCAGTCTCATGGCTTTCAGACAGTCATAAGAGAGTCACACTGTGGAACAGCTTGGGCCTTCCCTGCATTATATTCCCATAGTTAGCAATGCTAAAGTGCAATGTTGCACTTGTTTGTATTTTAAATGGCAAGGGGAGAATTTCTGTACAATAGGGCTCCAAAACTCACATAGGGGGCAAAGCACACATAGTTCAAGGCGTAGGTATTGACCCCCAAAGACCTCTGAAACATCTGTACTTAAAATCAAACCCTGTAACCTTCACAGCATAAGGCAAATGACTTATTCACTTCATTACAGAAACCAACCTCACTGAATTACAAGAATATGCCAGATTTTCAAACAAACATGAAGCCAAGACAGTGTATCTGCGCCAGAAATGTAAAAATTGAAGAAAAGTAGCAATAATGGAATAACAATGCTAAAGCAAAAATAAAACTGGATTTCCTATATGCAACTGGGCATGACAGTCAAATTTTAAGAAACAATTTTTGAAGGAAGAAAAGGTGGCACAGAAAAACTTACTTCAAAAACCCTGCGAAGCTGACTGTTACGTGAGTGCCAGCCAATCTGGCATTGCCGCCAGCCCTGCAGAAACCAAGTGATACTGTAAAACTCTTTATTCTAGACAAGACACTTCTGTGTGAACTATGACACATATGGAAACAAATCACCACTTGTCCAGAGTTACTCAACTAACAAGCAAACTAGGAAAAATAATTTTCAGTTTCAAACGCTGATAAGCGATATATATATATATATATATATATATATATATATATATATATATATATATATATATATATAATATATATATATATATATATATATATATATATATATTAAAATTAGGTTGCCCCCCCCCCCCCCCCCCCCCAAAAAGGGGGGGGGGGGGACAAAAATTTCCATGAGATAAATCTAGTATTAACCAAAAAAAAAAAAAAAAAACATAAGAGTTTTACAGCAAATCAACCAAGTTTCTGGGTACAGGAGAAAGAGAAACATGCATTCTGCTACAAGAGGAGCATGCAGCCTGTGGATGACGGTGATGATGATGACAGCAATGATGTCCAAGATGCTGATAACGCTGACACTAATGATGAAAATGAGCCTCATGCTAATGCCTATCACCAAAATGCACAGTACAGAGCAATTCAACTGGCAGCCCATGGATTGAATCCAGCCGGCAGAGGTCTAGTGAGTGGACCGTGGATCATTAATTAATTGTATTAATGATCTTTCTATGCTGGAGCTTTGGACTTCTGGCCCGTGATGACACCCATTTTCTACAATTTGACCCCTGTGTAAACTCAGTTGAATAGCCTTAGTATTGTATGTCATGGAAAATATTAAAATAAAACAGTGCCAATATGCCTTTACCCTGAACTTTATAGAAAACATGAGCTTAACAATGCAATCTCAATTTGCCTACACACTATATGTTACTGGGGAAAAAAAACTATATAACATAGAAAACACAGCCTCAGTATGCCAATACACTGTAAATCACTGGAGAAAAAACCCTTATGACATAGAAAACACAGCCTGAGTATGCCAACACACTGTACGCCACTGGTGAAAATCACATATGACATGGAAAACAACACAGTAGCAATATGCTTACACTCTATATATCAAGGATAAGAAAAAACGTCTGCACTGAATTTTGATTTTGTTAAAAGGTGAATCTGACTTACAAAAGGATGAATTTGGTTTGACAACCGTGTATCACTAAGTATCTTGTTACTGCAAATACCTGTTGTTCTACCAACCTGCTTTAGCAGGTATTTGCAGCTTAACAACAGCGATTCTGGGAATCACAGATAAGTACTTTTACGACTGGCCTAGCAACACACGACCTAATAATTCAGATCTGGAACCCCATTTTGGGAGGATAAAAGAAGCGACCCACTGTCTCTAATAAATGAGTCTCAAAAGACAATTAGAAGTTTTCATCACTTTGTTTTGTCAGTCCTATCATCATCAATGTAAATTAATTTACAAATGAAAGGTAGTCACCTTACTGTCCATGCCATATGCCGAGGTCTCCAAGTGTGGATTCTGGGGAGAGAAAAAAGAACACCCCCCCCCCCCTCCCCACCAAGCATGCCATTTAATAATTAAAAAAAAATATTTGTTTGCTGAGATTGGATGTGCTGAAAGGTGCAGATATCACAGCCCAGCTATAAACCTCGATATATTGTGCTAACTGCCTGTTAAGAAGAAGAGAAGAACCATCATGTCACCCCCAAGAACTTAAACAAGGTGAGAATAAGCATTTGTTCCATTAACTTGATTTGATACAATTTTTTGTGTGCAGGAAATCTAATGAAAGAAAAGTAAAAAAAAAATTAATAATAATAATAATAAAAAGACAATAATTATAAGCTTACCAGACAGTATCGTAGGAAACTAAAGTTTCCTTTCTCCCAGAAATAGCAGAAGTGACAAAACCCTGTGAGGAAAAGATAGCTGGACACCAAGACGCGTATGTGCATGTAGATGGGTAAAACCTGGTTGAAGAAAATTGTAAGAACATATAAATGTTATCAAAAATATATCAACAAGTAGATTAGTAGTAGCATATATATATGTCTGTGTTTTTGTGCGGTGCGCGCGTGTGTCCGTGTGCATGTGCCTGTTTATCAACATCACAAGTAGATTAGTAGCATATACATATATTTATGTCTGTGTCTGCGCGTGCGTGTGTGCATGGTATGTGATTGTTTGCATGTGCATGTGTGTGAATGAGGAAGATGGAGGCAGAAAAGGGAGGAAATAGAACGACTAAGAGAATGAGACAAGAGACAAGGCAGAGTTTATCTGATGTCCGATGCATGAGAACACAATTATAAGACTTCATGTATGCAGGAAGGCTGTACAACAGAAGTGTGTATATGTGATGCTGTGTATTCACATGTGTGACTGACTGTGTTTATGTCTCAGAAGTGATTACATATGTGTAATCAATATCTGTATAGACATGTAAATAGACACACAGATAGATACACAGATAGGCTGGTATGCAAACTGGGCAATAACAGCTCTGACCATTTTGGTTAAGCTGATATTTTTACTACTGCCATAAAGTCTTGCTCTGGTGATTATACTACTAGTCACTCTGCTTGAAAAACTTACCTCGGTCACAGTTTGGGCATTCTCAATGCAAGGATAAATATTCAACATTGTTTGTTGTAGCATAGATGCAGAAACTTTTTTCATTAATTTGTTTATATTTTGTATCTTGAGACCACTTCATTTCCCAATTTTTCACATATCCATTTCTTCCACCATGTGTATTACCTGTCTGTATAATTGTTTTCACTTGTTTTTGTAGTGTAAGTTTCTCACTGCTTTATTTGTTTATAAAGATGTTGGCAAAACATTTGCATTTATTGGTGTGTGTCTTTCCCTTTCCTTGAGCTTCCATGTTATTTAGTGTATTGTTTATTAAGAATGCAAGCAACAAACAAACTTCTTTGCTCAAATTCACAATAGGGAAACATTGCTTTGATTTAACATGCTGACAATCAGCAGATACACTGAAATACACATATTAGGGCAGTCCAAAAAGAAACTGAACAGAATTTCTACAGAAGATTATCAAATCAGTTCACATCCATGGATGTGAAACACAGTGACATGGTGAGTCTTCTTCTGCATTCATCCTTAAAAAAGGAGCTTGACATGTTGTGTTGTGGTTTACAGTTAGACTGCAATATCCGGCCTTTTGGCCCAAAACATCTGACTTCAGGAAAACTTGTTTAGGGGCTGAGGGTCTACCCCTGCCCCCCCCCTTCCTCAAACCAATGGGGCCCAAGACTCCACACCAGGACAGTCCTGTGAAATTCAGTTTCATATGTTGGTAAAATCGTGACATTGCAGTGGACTCTCCCCGTGTGAGTTTCAGAGTCCCATTACTGGGAAAACAAGAGCAAACTCCCTGCCTCCATAAGAAGCATGTCCTAAGAGTGGACTAATTGGGAGGTTCCTGCGAAGTTGGAGTGCATCTGCCCGAGTGACATGGAGCAATCAACTGCACACAAACAAGCCAAAGTCCAAAAGGATAAACAGCCAGGACTCTCTGCCGGAGCTTCCAGCTGGTCAACAAAGAAGAAGTGTACCGGACTCAAACAATTGTTCTACCAAGCTGCTGTAGCCCCTGAAAAGCTTCAGTAGAGGTTTCAACCTAATCTGAAGCAAACCACTAAAACATGTAATGGGTCAACAACAACATAACAAAAGCCAAGTCATTACATGCGCCTTCACCTTCATAATAATCCTGGATTCCTCCATTCTGTTCTATCCTTGCAATCCTTCTGATACTGTCTATGGAATCTAGTACCTCTGTCCTTAAGAGTTCATCACAGGGTTTCTCTTAGATGTCCTTGCAACTGATTTGTTTCTTATTTCAGAGCCTGTTTTGTGATTCTTTTTTTTCACTTACCTTCACTTTACCTCAAGGATACAGACAACTAACTTGTCTGTGCGGGTTATGGGGCCTCAGTTTTGAGAAACATAACAGGCTCACTGGCTCTCAAAACAAAGCATAACACAAAAGGCAACTAATTCAGTATCTGCTGATGTGTTAGACTGAAAGGTGCAGATACTGCAGCCCTGCTGTCAACCCCAACATAATGTGAAAACTGTCCTATTAATGGTAAATGAAGAAAAAGACAGCAACTGTCCAGCCAGGATCCTACGAATATTAAACTAAAAGTAAATGTCAGTAGTACATATACATAGTAGTTAGTTATCTAACTTGTAACACTGTTTTAAAGTCTGCTTTCTTTTGGTACTGCCCTAATACATGTAAACAAAGTGAACATTGCCTGAAACAAAATCGTCATCATTTGGTACCCTACCTTGCTAGCACCAGTCAGGTGATAGATAAGAATGACTAGCTGCATCCAACCTTTCCACTCGTCTGTCTGGTCTCGATGCAAGATATTCATCTGTCCATCAGAAAATGATTAATTTGATAACACACTCAACTACCAAACAGTTTCTGTACACACACAAATATGACAAATTCTCTATGGACTTGTCCCAGAAGTTTCCAACCATAAGAAAAATAAACATATTACCAATATCTTTACTAGCTGTGCATACACAGTTCTTCAGTGATGGAAGACCCAAATCAAAGTTTTTTTTAAAATGGCAATCATGTAGTTTAAAAAAAAAAAATCTAACAAACAAAACATGTACTGACTGGCATCCATGGATGCAGAGAAATGAGGCAGAGATAAGAGGACACCACTAGACAACATACACATTTTAAGTTACAGTTACCGTAATGGATCTCAAACGTGTGACCTCGACATGATGACAGCACTTCACTGAAGGAACATTTACTTCTTCTTCTACATTTCCCATGAAAAGGACAGTTAGTAAATTGTGTTTTGGTTTACAGCTTGGCTGCAAAATCTGCACTTTTTTAGCCTATCACATTCTGACAGTAAATCCTTAATTGGTTGCCTTTTATGTATGACATGCTTGTGGGTGGGGTGGGGTATTGGGGGCAGTGGATCTATCCCCCCCCCCCTTTCCAAAGCCCCTACATAGGAATGAACAAGTGCACTTTGAAGCATGGCTAAGTGCACACCCCTGTGTCTAGATATAGAAGGGTGTCAGCACACAACTGACAAAAGCTGTTAGAGATCGCAAGATGTGGACAAGAATGATCGCCAACATCCCTCGGTTATCATGATTAAGATGGCAGAAGGTTTATGCTTCACTGGGAATGCTGAACACTGAATTAAGAATCAACAGCACAGTACTCGGGACACTCCCATAAGTGATCCGTCCCCATTTTCAGCACAAACAAAGAATTCCAATTCCAATGGCACCAGCAATTGTCTGATTGTATATCCATCACACCTTTCCCTTGGGTGTTGAGCGTCAGCCAGATTCCGTGGTAACTCCCCCGCATCATCATTCTCCTCATACCATAATTATCTATTTGTGCTTCCACACTGTTCACTCCTTCCCAAAGAGCCCTCACAAATCTAGCTTGACGTACATCAATTTACCACCAAGTGGTGCACAACCAAATGCTTCACAGGAAAAACAAGAAATAAGACAGAAAAAGAAGTATAATGCTTTCAAGATTACCTACCTTCTCTGTGTTTTCAGTAAAGAAAAATCCTAGGATCATGACATACGCAAATGGTAAAAAGAAATTCAATGGGGTGTAGTACTTGTTTTCCTTCATGAAAAAGTTGGTCCTAAAAGCATACAAATATGGAAGATAAATATTATAAATGATGATAAGTTTGAAATAATGACCAAAATCATAAAATGTAAAATCACATCTATCTATTAAAACTAGTGTTTTGTAGGAGCCATAGTAACAGTCATCTGTAGTTCCGTATTTTTTTCTTCTTTTTCTTCTTAGCATTCACTGACTATTCTCAGAATACCATGGATTAAGAAGGGGAAAACAATCGAACATTCTACACGAGTTAAACATCAAGGAGAACTGGCTCATAAACAGCATCCTGTCTCGAAAATTGAAGTATTTTGGCCGCATCAAACGTCATGGTGGCTTGGAAAAGACGGCGCTGGAGGGTGCAGTTTGTGGAAGGCGAGGCAGGGGTCGACCTCCGTGTAGATGGGTACAGGACAGTGAAGATGCATTGGAAATGAAAGCACATGGGGCCGGACAGCTGGCTAGGGAAAAGGAATTCTTTTATGCGTGCTGTGAAAAGAGCGACATTTTGTAAAGGACTTGCTGACTGATGATTATTCTCTGGCTTTAAATTTCAGTGCAAAGTTTAGGTTGACTGTCCACTTCTGGACCTTGGTCCTGTTCCAGAACTTGAGTTCTGTGCGCACATCTGTTTACAGTTGCTTTTCGCAACTTACAACATGCTTGTTTGAGGCAGTTGGTCCCCCCCCCCCACCCCCCATCCTCCAATGGGTTCCCAGAAATCTACACAGGAAGTTTCAGTTCAACCAGTAGTATTGTCCAATAAAGGTAAAATAAATATAATAGTTATATATAAAGTAAATAAAAGTCGGCTCTCCTTGCAACTACGGCCACATATTGGGGGAGGGTTAGGGTTTAGGGTTAGGGTTAGGGTTAGGTGCAGTGCACTGCTGTCGGTCTGCCAGCCATGTCGACCTCACTTTGTTGTGTGATTCGTTCCTTCTCCATTCCGTAATTGCAATGTAGCCAGGGGACTGAACTCCGGCGTACTCCCCCAATATGTGGCCGTAGTTGCAAGGAGAACCATAAAAGTCCTATCATTCCACCCTGAGGCTTATAAGGCAGTACTGGGCATATGCTGCTAGACCCATACTGTTATAGACATATGCAGCTGCCTTTACATCCCAGAATATTTTCTAGCAACCATTTTTAAAACTCGGGGTCGACCAGGCCAATTTTAAGAACCTGTCTCGATGAAGATTCAAACCTCTACAGACCGAGCCAGGGATCAAGTACGCTAGTCATTGTTTTACTATGACTTCTACAGGACTACGCAGCATTGTACACTTGACCTGCAAACCACTGACCTACAAACATGGTTAAATTATCATTTAAGTCACAGACGCTGACAAATTATCATACTTAACGTTTATTTTTTAAATTTAAATCATCTGAATAACAAAGGACAAAACTTTAAATGGTAGGCTAGAAACTGACTAAATCTAAGAAGTCACAAGCATTTTAATTCCAAAGAGAATGTCTACTTACCTATCACACAGGTAGAAGTAAGCCATTATCAGCCCCAGCTTTGATAAGGACTTCATTATCTCATAAAAGCTTTCATTGTAATCCTTTTGGTGAGCAGACTGTCCATTTCTCTGACCATTTTCAGCTGTAACATAAAAACATTTACACAGCTATTTGTAAAATTATGATTTGTTTCTCTCCCTTTTCCTGCTTTCCTTATTTAAATTTTCTGGATGTAAATTATTAGGTGTTTTTCTGTCATGTGGGTTACTTGACTTGTGTTGAAAATATTTTTCTTGTTTGTTTCTGCAGTATTCTTGTTATTTTTGTGTATCAATAAAGATTGCTTTTTGTGCTTTTTTTTTTTTATTTTGCTGAGCTTTCTGTACCAATACAGAACAAAATAAGTGTAGGGAGACATAAAAATTACATGCAGAAGATGATTAGAGACAGATACAATAATAATGCAAGGATACAGAGGGGGTACTGCAAGAGAATGCACAAGATAAAGGACAGCTTGAAGTGAGTCAGCTGAAGGTCTTTGCTCAAGTGGGGATAAATGTTCCTTAAAAAAAAAAAATCATAACTGGTAAACAGAATTTCAGAAAGGTTTCAATCCTCAGAAGTGGCAGAATTTTTACCAACTAGTCTAGTATTGGGACTGATCCTGCTCCTTAACCCTTTCACCCCGAGAAGCCTAAATGTAGTCCTTTGCGGCTGCACCAGGTCTCCATAAATGTCGATATATGGCCATGTCTGCTCTGACTTGTTCTTGAAAAGCGTTGTTATATTCCACTGGTCACATGTGTGCTAGCACTGTCTTTAATAGGCCATGATATGAATACATTAACTAAAAATATTATTTACAGGAGTTTCCTGATGAAGGCAATGGCATTTTGAAAATCAAGTTGTGTCAAATTTTCCTGTAAACCTCAGTGATAGAGGTCAGGGGTCATGGCATGAGTTGCGCTACACTATGTGGTTTTTTTTTTAAACGCACAGGGGAATATATTCTCCACTTCATGCTTCACTCTGTTCTTGTTTATTGATTAACCCTTTTATATCTGTGTATATTTCAACAGCAATAACAATTACAAAGCAGATGAAACAAAATTTTTTTATGTATTAGTGACTTGTGTAACATGACATTTTTTAAAGGACTTTTTTGGGGAAATTCCTATGGATTCAGCTAATTTCCTGCATTTTTTTTAGGAATTAAAATAACTGCCCCCCCCCCCCCCCCCCCCCCCCCCCCCCCAGTGTCACAAAGGCCTAATACTTCATACTCCATCTACAGTAACTGCTTTAAGACTAAGATCATTTAATAAAAAGGGCCAAATGTAAGACAGGCCTGTGTGCCCAATTGTTTGTGACTCTTTGAAACTAAACTGTGTTTGTTCGTTCCAACAATATTTCTTGAATATCAACAAGGAAACAAAACTAATCTCTCACCTGCCCGTGCTTTGTTCCCGTTGCGTGGTACTTTCCTTCGATACAAAGTCAGGCCCACAAATATACACATACTGTGGGAAAAGAAATAACAAATATACACATACTGTGGGAAAAGAAATAACAGATATGTTCAGTTAGGGGTTGAAACCTTGTACTTTCCCTGCTTTTGTTCTCAAAAGGGCGGTTGACACTGTAATGTGGCTAACGGCTAGGCAGCATTATCTACACCATTCTGCCTAAAACAACCAATTTTGGCTAACATTTCATTAATCATCTTTTATGACAGGGCTATTCAACTGGCGGCCCGCGTGCCAAATGTGGCGGCACACAAATCACTGCCAGTTGTACTGTATTAATGATCTTTCTACGCTTGTGCTCAGGCCTCTGGCCCGTGGTGATCCCTATTTTCCAAATTTTGGCTCTTGAGTAAACTTAGTTGAACAGACCTAATTTTTGACATGCTTGTCTCTTTTTGTTATTCCCCCCCCCCCCCCCCCCCCAACCAGACATGATGCCAATTCATTCAAAATTTTCACAACAGTTAACCACTGTTCCTAACACACGTATCTTTCTGGTTGTCATAACTTTCTCCAGAACTTGTTATACCATGATATCCATTTAAAATAGCTAAAATAACTCAAGGGAGTCGCCGTGGTATAGCGGCTAGACTCACATGGGGATCGGAAGGCTGTGGGTTCGCTCCTTGCCGTAGTCCGACTTTTTACAAAAATTAGCTTGACTCCCAGGTCAACCCAGGCACCGGGTGCAGTCGTGGGAAGTAAAGGCAGCCAGCGTGGTGCTGACCACATCACTCATCTTGTGCCGTTTAGTCTATAAAAATATTGGTCTAACCCTATATGCCTAAAGGCGTTGAAAAGGGACTTTTACTATTTTTTTTTTTTAAATAACTTCATTAAAAAATAAACCAAAAAAAAAACAGTGAAGAAACAGTTGGCAACTTTGGTTACATATCAAACTATCCAGAATCACTCTATAAAGAAAAAAGTGGCAACTAAGTTTATATTAGGACTATTACTAGATTAAATATTGGAAACATTAGTTACCAACCAAGGTTACATACGGAAATATGACTAGAATAACTGTATGAAAAACATGGAATGACAATTAGCTAGACAAACTATGCAAAATCTGGAGTGACAATTCAGATTCTGTCATCAACATTATCATTAATTGTTTGCCAACTGGTGTGGGTGATCGTGCCTCCCCACAATTTGCGATCGCCAACAGCATGTAAAAGTTGAGGGATGGCACTCTTCCATGGAATGACAAAAGAGTGTCCTCTTAAGTTTCCTGTGTGTTTCAAAATATCTGGGTTACTCGTTTTGGCTGTCCAATAAATTGAAGCATTATTTTGTAGAACCACATCTCTGAGGTCTCAATAAATTGTTTGGCTTTTTTTATTATTTGCCAAGGATTTGCTGCCATATGTTAAAAGTGGTTCCATGTAGTATGCAAGTATTCTTTTTCTAATCTCTTATGACACTGATTTATTGCATAAGATGCTCTTCACTTTATAAAGTGTACTTTTTGCATGTCCTTACTGGTTTAAAAAAAAAAAAGTACCAGAGATTTGAGATTATATACCAAACTATTATGTTGAAACAAAGAAAAGCATAATTTTCTACTGGCGATTAATTACTTTAAAAAAAAAGGAAGCACATAGCTACTGAAAGGAACATAATTTTGTCAAAATATTTGTAATTTAATATGTGAAATTTTTTACATTTCACACAAGAATATCCTAGCGTTCCACAATTAATTAAAAGTTTTTTTTTTAAATATAGGTATTCGACAGTTTTTAGGCTTACAGGCTTTACCGTCAACTAATAAAAAAACACACAATTAGGCAACAATACTTTTTTTTTTAACAAATATGTAGCCAGAATAAAACTCAAAACTGGCTGACAAGTGTGATCACTTACCAGACCAGAAAAGCAATAGCAGTAATAATCTGTAACGTGGTGGCCCTCTCTGGCGTGTTGCAACAGGTGCCATCGTTGTGGTTCATATAATTGTTACAGTACATGTTCAACAACATTTGAATATCCTAAAGATGAAACAATTTGCAATATTTAAAAAAAAAAATATAAAATCTATGCCTTTTACATTTTTTATTTTCCTAATTTACTTTTCAGTACCAGGCTCGAGGAGCTTTTTGAACAACAACCCTTTGGGGGCAAGTGATCAAAGCAGAGAAGAAAAATAATTATCAGTCTGGAGAGAATGGTACAGCAGGAAGTATCAGGGGATGTGACTGATACTCAACACTCAGGTGTCAGGGGATGTGACCAACACTCAACACTCAGGTGTCAGGGGATGTGACCAACACTCAACACTCAGGTGTCAGGGGATGTGACCATAACTCAACACTCAGGTGTCAGGGGATGTGACCAACACTCAACACTCAGGTGTCAGGGGATGTGACCAACACTCAACACTCAGGTGTCAGGGGATGTGACCATAACTCAACAATCAGGTGTCAGGGGATGTGACCATAACTCAACACTCAGGTGTCAGGGGATGTGACCAACACTCAACACTCAGGTGTCAGGGGATGTGACCATAACTCAACAATCAGGTGTCAGGGGATGTGACCAACACTCAACACTCAGGTGTCAGGGGATGTGACCATAACTCAACACTCAGGTGTCAGGGGATGTGACCAACACTCAACACTGAGGTGTCAGGGGATGTGACCATAACTCAACAATCAGGTGTCAGGGGATGTGACCAACACTCAACACTCAGGTGTCAGGGGATGTGACCAACACTCAACACTCAGGTGTCAGGGGATGTGACCGACACTCAACACTCAGGTGTCAGGGGATGTGACCAACACTCAACAATCAGGTGTCAGGGGATGTGATCATAACTGGTGTGACAGGGGATGTGACCAACACTCAACACTCAGGTGTCAGGGGATGTGACCAACACTCAACACTCAGGTGTCAGGGGATGTGATCATAACTGGTGTGTCAGGGGATGTGACTGACACTCAACAATCAGGTGTCAGGGGATGTGACTGACACTCAACAATCAGGTGTCAGGGGATGTGATCATAACTCATGTGACAGGGGATGTGACTGACACTCAAGACTCAGGTGTCAGGGGATGTGACCGACACATAACACTCAGGTGTCAGGGGATGTGACCGACACATAACACTCAAGTGTCAGGGGATGTGACTGACCAACACTCAACAATCAGGTGTAAGAGATTGTGACCAGCACTCAACAATCAGGTGTCAGGGGATGTGACTGACACTCAAGACTCAGGGGATGTGACCGACACATAACACTCAGGTGTCAGGGGATGTGACCAACACTCAACAATCAGGTGTAAGAGATTGTGACCGGCACTCAACAATCAGGTGTCAGGGGGTGTGACTGACACTCAACACTCAGGTGACAGGGGATGTGACCAACACTCAACAATCAGGTGTCAGGGGATGTGACTGACACTCAAGACTCAGGGGATGTGACCAACACATAACACTCGGGTGTCAGGGGATGTGACCGGCACTCAACAATCAGGTGTCAGGGGGTGTGACTGACACTAAACAATCAGGTGTCAGGGGGTGTGACTGACACTCAACAATCAGGTGTCAGGGGATGTGACTGGCACTCAAAAATCAGGTGTCAGGGGGTGTGACTGACACTCATCACTCAGGTGTCAGGGGGTGTGACCGACACTCATCACTCAGGTGTCAGGGGATGTGACCGACACTCATCACTCAGGTTCAGGAGATGAGACCGACACTCAACAATCAGGTGTCAGGAGATGAGACTGACACTCAACAATCAGGTGTCAGGAGATGAGACCGACACTCAACAATCAAGTGTCAGGGGATGTGACTGGCACTCAACAATCAGGTGTCAGGAGATTTGACAGACACTCAATAATCAGGGTCACTGGATGTGACCGACACTCAGCACTCAGAGGAAAGGCATGATGAACATATAATCAAATGCTGTTGGACTGTCTGTACTGGAACCCTGTGATGGATGGCTGTTGAAGATAGAGATCAGAATGTCATGAACTCTGTGCTGTCGATTCTAAACTCATCTCTAGAAAAGGGTTCTGGGCAGGCTATGAACATGATGGTGTTCTTTGCCTCTGCTGTTTCACTAATTCAACACTTACATAATACAGTAATTTTTTCTGTGGTAGCTTTTGTGTTAATTCCTCACTCATACCAACAAAGCAATGTTTACTGTCTCCATCATCCCAGTTAACATCATTCATACCAACACAGTGATGTTCACTATCTCAGCTATCCTATTAAACATATAGCGCAACACAGTCATGTTCACTATCTCAGCTATCCTATTAAACATATAGCCCAACACAGTCATGTTCACTATCTCAGCTATCCTATTAAACATATAGCTAAACACAGTGCTCAGCTACCCTATTAAACATATAGCCCAACACAGTCATGTTCACTATTTCAGCTATCCTATTAAACATATAGCCCAACACAGTGATGTTCACTATCTCAGCTATCCTATTAAACATTAGCCCAACACAGTGATGTTCACTATTTCAGCTATCCTATTAAACATTAGCCCAACACAGTCATGTTCACTATTTCAGCTATCCTATTAAACATATAGCCCAACACAGTCATGTTCACTATTTCAGCTATCCTATTAAACATATAGCCCAACACAGTAATGTTCACTATTTCAGCTATCCTATCAAACATATAGTCCAACACAGTCATGTTCACTATTTCAGCTATCCTATTAAACATATAGCCCAACACAGTCATGTTCACTATCTCAGCTATCCTATTAAACATATAGCCCAACACAGTCATGTTCACTATTTCAGCTATCCTATTAAACATATAGCCCAACACAGTCATGTTCACTATTTCAGCTATCCTATTAAACATATAGCCCAACACAGTCATGTTCACTATTTCAGCTATCCTATTAAACATATAGCCCAACACAGTGATGTTCACTATTTCAGCTATCCTATTAAACATATAGCCCAACACAGTGATGTTCACTATTTCAGCTATCCTATTAAACATTAGCCCAACACAGTCATGTTCACTATTTCAGCTATCCTATTAAACATATAGCCCAACACAGTGATGTTCACTATTTCAGCTATCCTATTAAACATTAGCCCAACACAGTCATGTTCACTATTTCAGCTATCCTATTAAACATTAGCCCAACACAGTGGTGTTCACCGCCCTAGCTATTTGGTAGATTACATTTTTTAATACACACTCCAGATAACATTTGTGATGTAAAGGTCCTTTACATCAGACTACACCTGCGACGCAAAGGGCCAATTTACTAAAAATAACACTTCAGATATGATTTTTTCCAAATAAACTTAATTTTTTTTTTTTTTAGAATTTTAAAATTACAAGGTTGTTGAAAAGGCACAATATAAAGAATCATAAGGCAATACATCTCCCCCTTGAAAAATCAAAGCTACTGTCATAAACTGAAGTAAAAATGACAAATGTTGACCCCTTAATTCTGCTTAGGCAATCAATCCATGAAAACACAAGCGCTGTGAAAACAGACATGCACAGACACATCAAGAGCAACAGGTGTTGCAAAGGAGGCAGGTACATACAATCTGCAGAGCTTGCTTCTGAATATGAAGTCCATCCGCAGTCAACTCTTTTTTGAACCCCTGAGCCACAAGCCGAGAGGAACTCCACAAAGTTACTGAGGAATCCTTCCTGTGGATTCATGAGTATTCTAGGTTACACAAGATTTTGCTGTGTCAATTTAAGTCGTTCAGTAACATATACTTCGCTTGATTTAGACCCCAAAAAATACAAGCAGATCAATCCTATATGGGTTGGCCTCTGTAAAGTGGTTGGACACCCGCAAGAGCACTAAACAAAGCATGAACTCTGTAGCTCCAGCAATTACCCCAATTTCTTCTTCTTCACTTCCTTTTTTACCACTTCAGGTGTCCAGGCAGACATAAGGTTCTGCTTCTTCCTCTTCTGGCTGCCTCAACCATAGAGACATTGAGCTGTTGTTGAGTTTCTCTGATGTTCTCTTTCCATCTTGTTCTTGGTCTACCACGTACTCTACATCTCTTCTTTGCGTGTATGCCTTGTATGGTATGGTGTCACAAGCATTCTAAGTGGGCAAACCATTTGATTTGTTGTCTTTGTACGTAACTTAGAATTTATTCTGTGCCAACGTTTTCTCTTACGACCTTATTTCTGATTTTGTCTCTTCTGTTCACACCTGCAGCCCTTCTCAGACATTTCATTTCCATAGTTACTAATTTTCTTTTATGGTTTGCTGTGAGTGACAATTTCTGGCACTGGTAGCATAGGATGGGAATGAATAATTTACTTTGCATCAGATGTTCTTTGTGCTGATCGGGATTGACTTATGCTGTAAGAGAAGGATTAGCTGTCCCAATCATTGGTTTGCTTTTACTGCATCGGATGTTTATTAATGAGCTCCATGGACATCCAAAACACCTGCACAGCCAAATCAAAGGAAGGAGCCTGACAAGGGATCTACAACCTTCAGAGCACAAAACAAATGGCTCAACCACTTCACCATGGACACCACTGAGTTCATCTGTGTGTCACTTAGGTCCATGTGGGAAGCAAAGAATACTGTAACCAGCTGTGCATGTCATAAGAGGCAACTAAAGAGAGCTGGCATGAGACTGGCTCATTCATCTCAGAGAAAACAACAGTGACAATCAAACCTATTTCTTCGAGCAGAGTTGCAAGCTTCACTGGGAAGGTCACGGGTAGTGAGCATACTTTGGATCTTTTCTTCAGGCTATGACGGCGTAGTGGGTAATGAACAGGCAGACAGATTGGCTGGATCTGCACCACTGGGTGGTGAATTGATACATGACAAGGCAGATGTGGTCAAGGCCCTTTGAGAACAAGCAGCGGAATCAGTAGAGAAACAAGATTATTATGGCCTGGAGAGAATGAGGCACCTAGGTGTGACCAGAGGTTCTGGCTGGCTCACTATACTCAGAGGAAAGGCAAGATGGATATATAACCAGATTGTGACCGGTACCATCAGTATTAGAACTTTGTGCTGGCTGCTGAAGATGAGGACGGAGCACACATGGGAATTCCCCAGGTGCTGTGATGTCAATCCTTGACTCAACTCAGCTCAATTCAAACCTTTCTTGGTTCACTGCTTAAAGTAAATTGTCTTTATCTATAATTTTGTCTTTGAAACAAATTTATTTCACTTAAATTTTTTCAGTTTGCTCAATGAATTTTGGGTTTCTTTTTAAGTGCTGACTTTCCAGGTCAAATGGCTTACTGTGATGTGTCATACTGGGGCATTAATGGAGTAAACGAGGAGCAGCAGGCCTAGTTGTCAGTACAGCCAGGTTCAAATCCTCAGTAATATGATGGAAGTTTTCTGCTGGTAGCACAAATATACATCCCAGCCTGAAACAGTTTATGGCGACTGCATTAGCCATGCAGACCTAATTTCTCAAGCCCGAGACTCTTTGCCCCCCTTTATGCTTATACTTCCGCGGATAGCTAAAATTAGCAATACATATGTTTTGAAAAAAAGTTAAGACTCAATGCCAACTTATAACAAACACCAATAACAAGCCACCATAACAGTGGGACCTGGGTTCTTGGAAGACTCCCTTCAAAAAAAATTTTCAGGGCGGAAAAAAAAACGTCTCGGTTTTTTTAACAAAACATCATTTCCTAAACAGCCAATCGTGAAACCTCACTTCATGTGAATGAGATTATGTGAAAGAGTAAAACTGTGCTCAAAGCAGACACCTGCTCAAAAGTGCAGGGTCTTTTCATTATTATCTTTGCAAATTTTGTCAAGGGAGACCTAAAACACATGAAAAAGAGAAATGGAGACGCAGATGAATAATATGGAGAGGATATGGAGTAAGTTGCAGGAGATAGCAAAAGATAGGATAACTTGACGTGAGTTGGCTGAAGACCATTGCTCCAATGGGAGACCAAAAAAATGCAGTAACAGAAAGTAGCTCACATATTTTTTTGAAATTCTGTCAAAGCTGCAGCTAATTAGAATGAGGAATGGTGAGAACACCACTAACAAATTAAAAGCGCAATTAAAATGTCTTGAAAGAAATTAACGCTTGGCACTGAGATGCTGATAACCTGGCATCACTGTCCGTTACTAATCTCCAAGAAGATGTTAAACCAGTACTGTTGTACTGCTAAGTCCCGACAAGCCTAATTAACAGCAATACTTCTGTTTGTGCCTGAGGAGTGTTTAAAAGGGCCAGATAGGATAATATTCACTTTCAAATAACATGGGGTGGGGAGGGGGGGGGGGGGTGGGGGGGTGGGGAATATACTACTGTTAAAAATGTTTTTTTCGGTTTTTTTTTTTTCATTATGACATCATAATTTACCTTCAGCCTTTAGCAGCCGCATGGTGACATGATTATGGCAGGGGTCACTATATATATTTTTTTAAGCCCCAGCGAATGTATTCCATTTAACTGCCTGCTCCATACATGTTTATTGATTGCAACCCTTCATTTATAGAACTTTTGTTTTTTAAAGTTTATAAATGTATACAAATCAATTTTACATTTTTATTTATAATGACCTGTTTAAAATTAATCTTTAAGTGAGGAATTCTTAGGTTCTCTGTCTTTTTTTTTTCCCTAGGGTTTCCTGGGTGAAAGGGTTAACCCATAATGGGAAATGAAGGCTGCATCAGAAGGAGGTAATTTATATTCACTGGTTAAATTATAAGAAAGAAAACCATTGGTACATCATGACAACGGGACAGATGAAGGGAAAGAGAGGCAGAGTAAGACCAAGAGAGAACATACATCAAACAGTCTATAAAATATATGTCTAGTGCTATATACCCAATATGCCAAAAGCGTGCAAAAGGGTTCTTTATTATGCTATAATTTACATTTTAAAACCACAGAATAATTTATTAACATGTGCACTCTAAGCTTGATGAATGTAGTGGTAGAAAGAAGACCAAAAAGAAGAGCAATTCTTATGCTAGCACAGTTACAGAACTTACAAGACTGTGATGGCTATCTTATTGTACTTGTCAATTTGTTCATTTGTGATCATACTCCGTTCCTCCGACAGTTTTTCTTCCTGAACAGGATCTGTTAGAAATAAAGTGTGAAAGGAAAAGCTACTGACTGAAACAACATGTGAAATATAAAGTATTCATTTAGCTATAGACTATGGTCAAGCACCAGCAAGGAGGTCAAAAGTCAAAATGTTGAGAGCATGTATCTTTCCTGTAGTATCATATGGATGTGAGCTGTGGACTTTACTCGGAGTCCTTATGGAAGAAAATAGGGATTTCTAAGCTGACACGCTCTAGAAAGAGTCTCAGAATATCACGGACAAAGAAAAAAAAAGAAATAGTGACTTCCTAAAAAAATATGTATATCAAGAAAAATTGGCTAGTTAACAGCATCTTGTCTGGGAAACCAAAATATGTTGGCCAGATCAAGATGACGTGAAAAAAATACATGGTAAAGGAAAGAGAGGTAGGGGACTAACAGCATAAAGATGGGCACAGGATATTAAGTGACACCTTGGATAGGAAAGTGCATGAGGCAGGATAGGTAGCGAGAGACCACAAGTTTCTTTTAGGCTGACCGTGATGACAGCAACCTTCTGTAAAGAACCTGTGACATGAATATATTGTAGTGTTAGTCACCATGTCTATCCACAGCATGCTACCTTTTTTATGACTTCCAATCATTTTTGACACTGATATCCATTTATAACATCAAACTGTCCAATATCTCTTCTTCTTGGTTTCATTTGCTTCTCTTTAATTCCAAATGTCCTGTTGCCACAACCTACTCATGACGTGCCCAAAGAATGTGAATTGCCCCCTTCAGAAGAGGTTAATGAGTTTCCTTTATGAGTTCATTTCTTTCAACATCTTGGTTACATTGTTGTTGTTTTCACCTGTCCATGGTGATTTCATACTACTACAGAACTACATTCCTGCAGTTTCCATATAATCTCATGCTGATCTGCTTACTGTCCATAGTGATTTCATACTTCTACAAAACTACATTCCTTCAGTTTCCATATAATCTCATGCTGATCTGCTTACTGTCCATAGTGATTTCATACTTCTACAGAACTACATTCCTTCAGTTTTTATATAATCTCATGCTGATCTGTTTACTGTCCATGGTGATTTCATACTTCTACAGAACTACATTCCTGCAGCTTCCATATAATCTTATGCCGATCTGCTGACTGTGTCCATTGTGATTTCATACTTCTACAGAACTACATTCCTGCAGCTTCCATATAATCTCATGCTGATCTGCTTACTGTCCATGGTGATTTAATACTTCTATACAACTTCATTACTGTCCATGGTGATTTCATACTTCTACAGAACTACATTCCTGCAGCTTCCATATAATCTCATGCTGATCTGCTGACTGTCTATGGTGATTTCATTCTTCTACAGAACTACATTTCTGCAGCTTCCAAATAATTTGATGTTGATCTCCTGACTGTCCAGAATTCATGTTCACAAATCAGGATTTTCTCCATATAGCTCACATTAACAGCATAAAGATGGTATTTAGACTCACACATGTGTTACTGGGACCCATGATGAAAGCAAATAATAGTAGCAACAGTGGTAGGCCTGCATGTAACGACTGTAATCGCTGCTTAGACTTTCTACTGCACACACACACACAAAATGCATAACTATTCTATTTATTATCACTGTTTACTATTTATTACAAGTATGCCGCTCTGTTTACCAGTCATCAAGCATGTAGCGCTTGTTAAAAAAGTATTACCATTGTGAAAAGAAAACTTGCTGCATGGGGAGGGGGGGGGGGGGGTGTGGGGTTACCTGTGCCCAGCAATGGTGAAAAGGACTTTTGTGTCACAGCAACCAAAATATAGAAGGAGGCAGGAAAAAGAAATAAGAACCATGTGTATAGGGCCTACATGGGCCTTGCTTCCCAAAACACAAGTGTTAGGACTCATTCGGGCTTCATTCTTCAGAAAATGTAGTCAAATTGTTCAATTTATTCATGTTTGTCCTAAGTAATTAAAAACAAAAATGCATGCATAAATATGCAAATTCGACAGCTAATTTGAATAAATGTTGAGATGTCAGTATGATTCATAAAGACTGTTTAGTTCATTCAATTTCCTATATGAATATAGTTTTGTATATGTTAATTAAACATTTTATTTTTTATTGTTATGTGTGTATAAAGTAAGCGAATCCCCTCCTGAAGGCTCTTTTTTCTTAGCACTGAAAGTCCAAAAAGGCTCCGTCTCCAAAGGGTTAACAAATTAAAAAATATAACAGAACAACCTAAGGGTTCACAAATAAAAAATAAAAAAATAACAGAATACCAAAGGATTAAAAAATTTAAAAAATTTAACAGAATAACCAAAGGATTAACAAATAAAAAAATATAACAAAACAACCGAAGTTTCAACAAATTAAAAAAAAATATAACAGAACAACTCAGCCAATTAAAATGTTTCTTGACCTTGATTATAAGCAATAAATAAAGGTTATTAGCCCTCCTTACCCTACCCATATGTGTCTCCATCATAAAGTAATAAAGTCAGTTCCAAAGAGCTATGCTGCTGACAGTCCCAGCGGTCTCCAGAAACTAGAGTCCAGTAACAAATGCCTCACATATACCCGTGGAGCGGAAGGTCATGGGTTCAAATCCACATGAAGCCAGATTCTTTTGAATAATTACACTGGTTTCTAAGTCTATCCAGCCTTAGACGGGTACCATGTAAAGTCCTGGGAGGTAAAAGCAGCCAGCATAATGTTGATCACAACACCCACCGAGTGACGATCAGCCAAAAAATATAAGTCAAACACCACATACGCAATACGCCTACAGCTGTGGAAAAGGGTCCTATATATTCCTGAAGCACGACTGCAGTGAAAAGGGTCCTTCATATTTGTTTTTTAACTAATACTGACAGTAACAAAGTCATTGATTGGGTCTCTGGAACCAGAATGAGAGAGACACAAACTTACTGACCTGTAATTGCAAACACTGCTGACACAACTCAGCGTTCAGCGAAGAGTCGTAATGCAGTGGATACCGTCTCATTGTGGAGTGCCTGGAAATGAGAAAGCTGATCAACTGGCAGGGGAAGGTGCGACAAAAGAGCAGCCAGATGTACCAGTCACATACCACCAAAAGAAAAGAATCATTAAATCGATCAGGAAACCACCAGCCCCAGTACAAGACGACTATTTTATTATGGACAGACCAGAACAAGTCATTATCCTCCGCCTCAGAACAGGGCACAACCGATTACGTAACCACATGTACACAAAATTCAAGATAGGTGTATCAGCCATGTGCACCTGTGGAAATGTGCCCCAGACCGCAGAGCATGTACTCCAGGACTGCACCGATTTTGACACATTAAGGCAAACCTTTTGGCCAGAAAGAACAACAGTGGAACGTAAACTCTATGGACCACTGAATGAACTAACAATGACAGTGAAATTTATACAAGAGACAAAACTGCTGATATAGATAACTTATTTCAGGCGAACGAAAGAAGAAGAAGAAGAACAAACCTGTAAATTTAGAAAACATTTAAAAGAACAAACAAAATAATGAAAGAGGGCAAACTTATACTCCGCCACAGCCTTGAAGAAACAGTATGATGTAATGCAATCCATAATGAAGTTACTTTAATCCAGTATGATCTGATTTTTAAAAATCAGAACAGAAACAGAAGACCAAAAATTTACCTTGTAACATCCAAACAACCTTTGTGGAGTCTTTTAGTTTGTTGTACAGTTCTCGTATCATCGTCAGGTTTGCTGTTTCAGAGAACAAGCAAAAAACAAATGTAAAATGGTCAGTATAAAACACTAACAGAATATACAGTTACAACTAAAAAGCACAAGATTTATAACAGTCCAGGAGGAATATTTTTATGACACGACTATGCCTTTTAAGTCATTCACAGAAAGAAAAACGTTATCTTTACAGATACTAGTGTTGGAGTGTGAAGTGGTGGGATTTTACAGGCTCTAAATGCTCAATACTGAATTAAGAATCAACATCACAGCACCATAAATACTCCAACCCCATCTTCAGCAGCATGCACAGAGTTACAACTTCAATTGCATCAGTAACAGTCTGATTATACATCCATCTAACCAACCTCTTGAGTGCTGAGCATCGGCCAGATTCCCTGGTCACTCTTCCGCAGACTGTGATGATCTATTTGTGCCTCTGTACTCTTTACTAGCTCCCAAAAGACCTTTACAGCATCTATATATGTGTTCTAAGCCATGAAATATGAGGCTGGGTTGCCAATTCCCTTCTTCATTGCCTTTCCTTCCTAGACAATTCTAGAAATTATCTGGTACCCAAGTTTTTGTACACTGAGCCATGCTGACTGGAAAAAATCTGACCACTTCTGGCGACTGAAGATGGACCATTCTGATGGCAGGCAAGCACAATTTGCCACAGCAGCTCCACCTTCACTGTACAGTATGGCTGAACTCTGTATGGTAGGACCCTGCTGATTTGGTAAGGGGAGGTTCAGACTTTTAGTAACAAGCAAATATTACTGAAAAGTTAAATGCACCCCTTTTAGATGCATCTGCAGACACCAGTTAATGAATGAATGTAGTTTATTCTTCTTCTTCAGCATTCCGAGCCCTTAAGGTTCATTGCTGCAGATTTAACTCACCTCCACTCCATTCATCTCTCTGGTTGGCCTTCTCTTTCCAGTTAGTGACACCAAGTGTTTGCAGGTCTGTAATGTAGTTTATTAGTGATTTTAAATGTTTCTGCTTCATATAGCAGAAGTGATTTGATGTTCATCTGGGTAAAGATGAATGAATGAAGTTCAACCCTACCAGGACAGCACAACAAGTGATAAACACCCGGTGACACAATTCCCACCATTCGAATGGGAATGGCCTGGGCGCCAGTCCCAGAAACCGTGTTCAACCAGTAGGGCCTCGATGAATGTTGGGGTGGAGCTTTAAGATAACCCAAAAAAATTGCATCCCACAACATTCAGGACAAGCCCATACTAGCTCTGACTCCTTCCTTAACTAAGTACCTATGAGTCTGTTCAGAATATAAAACGCATACCTTGTAAGAAGTAACTGATGAAGAGATTGAACTCCATTAAAAAAACTTACAGTGAAAATTTGTAGCTGCATCTGCACTGCCATTGAACAATTTGATAGCCCACTGAAAAATTGTAATGAAAAATAGAACAATTATTGAATTCTTTGCTATGTCCTAAATAAAAGTGTGCCATCTTCACCATGGAGGTTGGCTATAGAAGACATTTTCAGTTACTCCTTCTTCTGTGTTCACTTTTGGGTGGTTGCTGCATTGTGTTGTGATTTACAGATAAGATGTGACATATCTGCCCTTTGGCCCAACACTTCCATCTTAAGGAAAACCGTAATGTCACCTTTGACAACACAACTAGGAAGGTCAACAAATACCTGCAGAAGTCTGATGTGTCAGCCAAAAGGATAGAATATCATAACCATGCTGCAATTACATCTTCAGATGAATATAGAAGAAGAAGAGGAAGAGGAAGAAGAAGAAGAAGAAGAAGAAGAAGAAGAAGAAGAAGAAGAAGAAGAAGAAGAAGAAGAAGAAGAAGAAGAAGAAGAAGAAGAAGAAGAAGAAGAAGAAGAAGAAGAAGACATGTCATTTTTATCCTGTGGCTCCAAACTGGAACCCTGAACTCACAGGGAATCAACTGCTGACTGTGGGAATATTACATATTGAAGCCCCAGTTTCTTCCATATACCACTTCTGAAAGCAACAAGTTCAATCTTTTTTTCTAAACGGATTGCCAGGGAACTCAAAATCTCGTACTTTTAAAAATGTGAAACTGTGTGTCACTAAATATTGGTGACATAACCTAGGCGCTATAAAATATGTGTAAATGCTCTATTCTAAAAGCAAAATATTTTCACTAAAACTTTTATATTTCACTAACTAAAATAACAGTAGCAATCAGCCATGTGCCCAAAAGGGTCTCGAGGCACAGTGGGCATATGGTGCCAGTCCCATTTGATATATACCACTCTCAGCAGGTGATGAGGTCAACACCAGGCCAGTAGTCATAACTTCCTCAGATATTGACTGGCACTCATTTTTTAGACTGGCTCAACTTGGAAGACCAAGTCTACAAATTAGCCTTAGAGAATTTGAAATTATGACTCTACAGACAACCAGGTTAGCTATAATGGTTTCCTATGACATTACTGTCACTGATACAGGGGATACGTTGTTTTAACGGTGCTGTACCAAAGCACTGACAAAACATAAAAACTGTCTTATCATTAGTTAGTATTTAGCCACGGTTCCAACTTCACTGTTCCTATGCCAACATAAACAACATAAAATACCTAACACTGTCCTATGTGAAAAGCACTATAATTTAACTTGCAGTTTTAAGCTTTTAAAGGAGAAACTAGAGATAAAGACATGAACGCATGTGTAAATAACAAACAAACTTATACAATTACCGTTGCACTGCCAGTAATGAGAACATTTGGTCTGGCTCCAGGCTGTACACTTTTGTGCCACTTGTTGAACACATCGTACATTGTTGCGTTCACCATAGGCTGCCATAAGAAATCCTGTATTACAGAAAGTAAAGCAACAAAATCTGTTTTACTGCCTGTATTTATCTCTTATTAGAGCGGCGCAGAACCGGGTAATGAATCTGAGATTTAGGACTATGCTGCCACAAACTGTGCATGTCAGGATTGTTATTTGTGTCTGACAGAAATAATGTCCATCGTTTTACAGAGAATCTGAAACCTAGGTCTGCCAACCGAAAGTCTAGAATATGACTTCTAGAAAAAATAACTCATGTCGTTTAAATATGTGTACAACAATGGTAACAAATGGTGACCACAAAATGACGACATATAAAACATCGCTTTATCTATTTTTTAATCTACTGGCACGGACCATGTTGTGATGTCTACCAAACATAGAGATGACCCACAGGGGTTAACAATCAAAAACACCTATCCATTTTTTTTTAAATCCCTGCCTTAAAGGAGGTTGGAACCCAGACCACCAGGCTAGCATCTATCATTAAAATACGGTAAATACTTACAACTTTGATGTTTATCTTGTTGTCCCGGAACTGCAGGTCTGTGTGTGCTTTTGCATCCACTTCTGCCTTGTCGCTGATGAGGCCAATAAATTCATAGTAGAGCTGGCGTATTCGAGAGTCCCCCACAAAGGCAATGTGATTATGTCCTCCCCAGTATGAGACGTAATGCATGCATGTCCTGGCATCCCTGGTTTAAAAAGTAAAGTGAATTAAACGGACCTTTTCGTACCTTATTACCCTCCGAATGTTATATAGGCCAATCAGCACTTGATGGGTGAGGTGATCAACACAACACACTCCACATTTACTCCCCAGGACATCTTAATGAATGAATGAGTCAGAGCTGACATCATTGCACTTGGGACATTCCCACAAGTGCTCAGTCACGATGGGTGAGGTGGTCAACACAACACACTCCACATTTACTCCCCAGGACATCTTAATGAATGAATGAGTCAGAGCTGACATCATTGCACTTGGGACATTCCCACAAGTGCTCAGTCACGATGGGTGAGGTGGTCAACACAACACACTCCACATTTACTCCCCAGGACATCTTAATGAACGAATGAGTCAGAGCTGACATCATTGCACTTGGGACATTCCCACAAGTGCTCAGTCACCTTCCTCAGTAGCCAACCAGGGCTCCATATGCTAACAGTACCAGTTACAACCTGATTAAAAGTCCCCTTCGGTGCTGAATGTTTTCCAGAATATCTATTCACCCCTGTTAAATTACTCATGTATGGATTCTTGTCTGTTCTATGGTACTATCCATTTGATCCCAGAGAGCCTTCATTACCTCTGCGAGACATTTTTATGTACCATTCTTAAGATGGGATCAACTTGGGAGAACCATAAAAATGTGCACCAGATAAGAATTGAGATGCAAAGACAAAGAGGAAGGAAACTGGCCACCCCTTCTCATATTTAACTGTCTAGAATGTTAGTTGTGTTTCCTTTATAGGATGTTGCAAAAACCAACCCCAGCATTTTTTTTGCTGTAGTGGTTTTTGAAGCAAATTTTACATTCAGTAGTTTGCCACTGCTTCCTTAATGGTCAGCTCTAGGTACCACTGTCGAAACCGATATTAAGATAAACAGTCCACAGCTGGTATCGAACCCTGCACCACAGCACGCTGTAAATGCTGACTAAAAAGGGTTTAGCATAAGACAACCACCACCCCAAAAAAGACTGAACTTTTTCCCAGTACCAAGTGGCTCCACATGAATTGATAAGTTGCTACTGATATCTTCTTCTTTTTTTTGCCTTTGGTTTCGTATGCTCAGATCAGACCATCAAGGGGGGCTGCCTCTATGAACTTGCATGTCAGTAGCAGACCTTTTATGGTTTCCCATAGCTTGCTCTGCACACTTTGCTCTTGAGGCCAGCTGTCTTTTCGAATTTGCAGGTACAGTGGGCAGGTCTGCAGAATGTACTCAGTTGTTTGGGGTCCTGTTTGACAGGCACACTGTGGGGACTGTATAATCTTTATTTTATGCATGAGGTAGTTGAGCCCGCAGTGTCCTGTTTGTAGATGGAAAATTGTTGTATGTTGCTTTCTGTTGAGTCTGCTGATGGGGTCTTGTGGATGTTTACTGTAAGTTAGTTCTCTCAACAATTCCTGGTATTTTCCCTTGATAAGTGTTCTGATTTCTGGTAATGACAATGAATGGGCGTGTTGTTTCTGCTTTGTTCCATTGTGTGCAAGTCTGTCTGCTAACTCATTTCCTGGTATGCCGCAGTAAGTCGGAATCCAGTGGAGAACGATTTGGTTGTTTTTTTTGCGAGTCTGTTTAGCTGGCGGGTCAGTATTCTCTCCAAGTTATCTCGTGGATTCCTCCGAGTCACCTGGAGGACTGACATGCAGTCACAAATTAAACAATTTTGCTGTTTTTAATACTGATATTACTACTGATATGATCTACTATTTTAAACTCTGTCCTATTTAGGTGCTACACTAACCCTTTCTTGCCAAATTATCACTTTAACTCATTCTGCCTTTCTTCTTCTTCTCTTGCCTTGTTCTGTCTTTCAGTTTTAGGTTTGAAGAGGTATCGGGTGCGAGCCTTGGTATGTGTGATGTAAATGGTAGTTTTTATGGCCTTAGATATTACATTTAACCATCGCTTGCGTGGTCAACCTCTAGCTTGCTTCTGTTATGTCTAAGAGACAGGGTTCTTTGTGATGCACTATCTGGTGGTAGTCTTAACACACGTCTAAATGCCTCTGAACACATGATAGTGTTTTAATTTTTTTTTTTAAATATTGTCAGACACAAATATTTATGAGTTAAAGTAACTTTTTTCTTCACATTCACTGGCTGTAAACTTCGGCAGAAAGTTTTAGTGGTTCGTCCACTTCTGGACTTTTATCTTGCTCCAGAGCTTGAGTTTTGTTTTACAGATCTCCTTATTCATATGCAGACATTCCTGTAGGGGTTTCAGGACCCCATTGTGGGAAAAATCAAGAACAGACCTACTGCCTCCCTAACAAGCATGTCATAGGAGTTGATTAATTGGGGTATCCTTTAAAGTCCGAGTGCATCTACTTGAGAGGCAAGGAACTACAGGTTGCAAACAAATAAGTCAGATCTGTAAAATTAATGTGCATGTAACACTCAGGTTCTGGAACAAGTCTTAAGTCTAGAGGTGGATCAACAACCAGAACTTTCTGCAGGAGTTTAAAGCCAGTGAACATGAAGAAGGAGGAGAAGATATGCAGACTGCTGGTTCCTCTCCTGTCAAGTAAGATGCACTCTGAATTCATAGGAAACAGTTAAATTAACAACTTCCAAAGATATAATAAGTTAAAGTGAAACTTATCTAGAACTGCAAGAGTTTAGCTGCAAAATGAACCAATCCTCAACAACAAGAAAGGGTTGGTTGCTTTTGCTCTATCAGGAGATCTACTTCTTCTTTGCATTCACCAGCTGTAAACTCTGGCAGAAACCCCAGCCTGTTTGTCCACTTCTGGACTTTTGTCTTGTTCCAGGACTTGAGTGGTGCGTGCATACATATTTTACAGATCTGGCTTATTTGTGTGCAGGCTACTGGTTCCCTGCCTCTCCTGCAGATACACTCCTTCTAAGGAAATGTCAATCCTCTCTATGCTGGCCAGACCCGTTGTTGGGAACCTGTTTTTAGGATGACCGCAAAGGTATAGATCCTGGTACACCATCACATGTGTAGGATGTATCCCCATCGTGAGATTAAAGGAAGGAACCTTTGTCTCTTTATCCAGTTACTTTTATATTTTGATTTTCTCTTTTAGCTGACTGACTGACTTTCTACCCCACCAGGACATCACACAAGCGATAAACACCCGATGACACAACGTGCCACCATGTGGATGAGGATCACCGTGGAGTGGTCCCAGAAACCACGTTCAGCCATTAGGCCATATTTATGGCCTGGCTATATTGCGGCCCCTGGCTAAAGCCAGAGTAGGGCTTCAAATAACGAAAAATTTCATCCTAAAAAGGAAGGACAGGAAGTATAAACAATGAAAATACTCTTTCAGCTCTTCCAGTCCCAAGCAATGTAGAGTGTGTGAGTGTCATTATCCCTTAATTTCCCTCCATAGCATAACGTGATCTCCTAAGTTTAACATTTAGTCAGAACAAATTTAAAATATTTGGCTTCCCCAGTGTAATTACCACAATGCGTGTTGCCATTTGGAAAGTAAAGTATTCATGCTTTTTCATCATAGTTATTTCTTTGCTTTGGCATCTCCTGTCAAACTTTCTCATACAGAAAGAGTTAGTGAACTTTGTAAATGCAGTTAAAGGAAACAACAAAAACGAAACATACGCTCTTGTGTACTTGTGCATCATACAACCATACGGTTGCCATGTGTCGCGGCCTGGAAACCGTCCCTCACTCATCAGCCACTTGCATGAATCATTCCCTTTATATAAAATTGTAAAAAACAATTTTTACCACAAGGAGAAGTCTTTTATCAACAGTTATATGATAGAGATTTACTGATTTAAGAATCAACATCACAACACACCAGGCATACCCATAGATGCTCTGTCTCCTGCAGTAAATGTCTTAAGGTTTACATGCTAACTGTTCCAATAGCACAACTGATTTTACACACGTCCTCTTCCTCTGATACACCCATCCTTGCCGGAACCACTCTTATTCCTCATTCACACATTCTTATACGTTATTTTATCTAGCCTCATGTCTTTTATCAGCATTCGTTCATAAATGGTCTTCGTAATGTCTCCCTTGTCCAGTACGAGTGTCCAGTATCACTTTTGAAGCCAGAAATGTCCCTTGCACTCCAGCATTCCTAACAGTACATCCACCTGAATCTCTGCAATGTTAATGCGCTGATGCTTGGTATCCACTTATGCCATTGGCATCAGCTGGACCTTATCCTTACAAGGAGACAGCATCTGAATCATACATCACTAACTCGTAGCTATTATGGTGCTGACTGTGACACAGACCATCTTTAGTTTTTTCAAGAGTTCGGCTGAAACCAAAAAGAATGATTACACTGAGGCACAAATCCATCCCTAGGATAAATACTACCTAAACTTAGGATCCTAATAAATGCTTTGAATTCAAACAGCAGCTGGAATACTTTTTCTGTGATGTACAAGAGACTTGCACAGCAAGTTTAAAGTGGAATACTATTAAAGATAATATAAGACAGCTGTAGATGTTTACGTTGTTAGAGAATATAAAAGTCATGACTGCTTTGAAGCAAATAGCCAGATACTGCAACCACTGAATGATAGGAAAAAACAAAAACACTCCTCAGAAACAAAGAGAAAACAACAAGGAATACACTCAATGACCTGAAAGAAGCTAGAAGGCAAAAAGGCAGCCAAACAGTGTGCAAATGACCACTAGATTCAGCTGTGTGAAAGCACACAGAATGCTAGTAACAAAGGAAACATTAGAGGCATGTATGAGGGTATAAAGGCCATTGGCCCAACAGTGAAGAAAAAAGCACCACTAAAAACAATGTCTGGGGAGATAATCACAGATAAAAAGAAGCAGATGAATAGATGGGTGGAGCACTATTTGAAACTTTACTCTCTAGAGACCAGACTAGCAGATGGCGCCTTTAATGCCACGGAGGCTCTGCCAACTCTTGACCACCTGCATAACTTCCAACAATGGTAGAAGTTAGCTGCACTATTGATAACCTTGCTTCTGGCAAAGCTCTGGGCAGTGATGGAGTTCCAGGAGAGGTAATCAAGAGTGGAAAAGATATACTTATTCCACAAATTCACAAATTAGTAACACTTTGCTGGCATGAAGGACATGTCCTAAAGGATTTCAAAGAGTCAAGCATCATAACTCTATACAAGACCGAGGGTGATCGGAGTGACTGCAACAACTACAGGGAAATATCACTTCTGAGCACTGTTGGGAAGATACTTGCTAGAACCGTTCTGCATAGACTCCAGGTCCTAGATGATCAGGTTTACCCACAGTCACAGTGTGGCTTTAGTGGGCATCGATCGACCACAGATATATTATTCTCACTACGACAGCTGTAAGAAAAATTCTGCGAACAGAAGCAACCACTATATACTGCCTTTATTATAGAATAATAAAAATGTTTAAAATTTCATGAGGAAGCGTCAAATGAGTTTGAGATCAAGAGAGTTACAAAAGGTTGTGTACTTGCCCCTAACCTTTTTTGAATATATTTCTCTCTCTCTTCTTGAAATGTGCATTCATAACAAGCTGGATGGCATATTCATCCATTCTCGCTCAGATGGAGACCTCTACAATGCCCGCAGACTGAAAGCCCAAACTAGAATCAGGAAGGTACTCATCAGGGAGCTGCTTTCTGCGCTGCAATTGTAGCCCAGTCAGAGGAGATATTGCAGCGTTTACTGTCTGCATTTTCTTATGCTTGTTGTGAATTTGGTCTAACAATTAGCAATTTAAAAAAAAAAAAAAAGATTATGGCACAAGATGTCTGTCACAGACCTAAAACCTTAATTCAGGATGAAAATGCTTGAAATGGTCGACTGGTTTCACATATCTGGGATTCGCAATAAACAACAAACTATCCCTGGATCAAGAAATCAACATCAGAATAGGAAAGTCAGCAACAACAATGAGCAGATTAAATAAGAGTGTTTGTGAGAACAGGAAGCTCACAGTTAAAACAAAGACCCTTATCTATCAAGCATGTGTCATCAACACTCTTCTTTAGCACAATCCTATAGTCTGGAAAGACAGAAAGGTGCCAATAACTGTCTATTTACTAATATTTGATTACTAACACAATTCCTGGTCACTTTGATGAATAATATGTGTATGTTGTGCAGCTGTTGAATTAGTTAGGTCTGTTTTGATGTGTTACACTTGTGAAATAAAAAAAAAATTGCATTACCCTCCCTTGGGCCTCTGATGCTAAGCCCCTGGGACTCAAGAGCTAAGGATATGCTTATTGCTTTCGTTGGGCCCAAAGGCCAAAGGCGCAGATATCACATCCTATCTGTAAACCGCAACATATCATAACGTGCCAACCGCTCTTTCAGGGGCGAGCGCAGAAGAAGAAGTTTACTGTTTCCACTTTTCCTTTCTCTTGATCTCTTGGTTGATTGGTCACAACTCATCTGAGTCAGTCACGTACACTGATAACACTGTACACAACGCCACAGCAGACAGTACACTCACCGTCAGTGCCGAACAAAACAAACAGACGTCACAGTGATGACAACAACAGTTAACATACGACAGTATTTTACCATATTTAAAATGCAGAATTTCGTGGTACATAACAAAAGCGACAACCATGGCAAGAGCCACAAGCTTGGCATTGTTTACATTGAGGTACTGGGTGATTTCTTTAGTGGCACTGCTTGTGGTCTCCGCCATATTGTTTGTAGCCAAGAGTGTCCGGTCTGTGTACACGCGAGAAGCCACGACTGCGGTCCCTTATTTGGCTCATGAGCCAACTACAGTGAAAATTTCATAGTAGTTTAAGTTTAATGATATCCTATTCAACCCTTCTCTGTAATGCCTGACATTTTTATACACGTGTGTGCGTGTTTTATATATGTATATATATATATATATATATATATATATATATATATATATATATATATATATATACATACATACATACATACATCATCATCATCATCATCAGGTGCCTTGCCGACTGGCGTGGGCGATCATGCCTCTCCATAATCCGCGATCTCCAGCAGCATGTATCAGTTCGTGTGCCGACACACCTCCATGCCATGCAACAAGACTGTCAAGCATTTTCTCTCGTTGTCTTCCTCTATCCCTCCTTCCACAAATCTTTCCAGTGGTCACAACATATTCTATTTTCCCTCTTCTCATAACATGGCCGAAAAATGATGACTGTCTCCTTCTGATACATACACATATATATATTAAGGTAAAGAGATATATTGAGATATATATGCGTGTGCATACAATCATTATCAATCAGAAAGTCTTTTGGGAACAAATGTGTTGCTAATACTTTCCGTCCTTTTTAGGCCGAAATTTTTCGTTATTTTAAGTCCTACTCTGGCTCTTGCCAGGGACCGCAATATAGCCTGGCTATAAATATAGCCTAAAGGCTGAACGCGGTTTCTGGGACCTCTCCACGGTGATCCTCACTCACATGGTGGCACTTTGTGTCATCAGGTGCTTATCGCTTGTGTGATGTCCTGGTGGGGTAGAAAGTCAGTCAGTCAGTCAAGTCTTTTAAGAAACGTCTCTCTCGTCACGGCACGTCCGAAAGTCTCTTTCAATATGCAGTTCTCCGTGCATATGGGCTCTATCCAAAATCAAAAACTGTTTTCAGTACTTTTTGGCAAAATAAAATACTCAAAATTTTAAAACTGTAAATGGTGGCCCAAAGGACGTTGTGTACGAAAGCTCGCTCTCCAGCGAAATACGCCTGGCCAAATCATAGGGAGACAAAACAAACATAAACAAACAAGAAAGAAGAGGAAAGACATGCACAAGTAGCAACAGGGTGGAGGACTAGCGGTCTGAATCGGATGGAAGTATCAAGCCCAGAAATGGCGCAAATATTCGAATTTAGTCACGAAAGTGACACAAATAACCCAGACCACAAATATAGGCGGAGACTGTTAGCAGCCTCGGCTAGCTAGCAGCAGTCTGAAAGTGGTCGACCTTTTAATTTTTTTCGAAAACGGACTAGGCCTAGGCTAGGCATATGGGCTTTCATAACCAATGCATCTTCAATGTCTTGGATCCCCCTTTGTGGAGGTCTGCTTCCGCTTCGTTTTCCTGAAAGTGTATGCTCCATCGCCGTTCTCTCCAGACCATTATGACCTTTCATCATCACGATGTAGCAGGTCCTTTGCAAAACGTCGCTCTCATCATGGTCTGCATGAAAGAAACTCGGTCTCTCACCAGCTCTGCTGCCTCATGTATTTTCATACTCAAGGAGTCACTTATATCCTGTGCCCATCTTCGTATTGGTCGGCCCCTGCCCCTCTCTTCTGTTACCATGCCTTCTGCTATTATTTTTTCCACTCCGTCGTGGCGCTTTCAGCTTCCGAGACAGGATGCTGTTTATTAGCCAATCTTCCTTAATGTTCAGATCTTTCAAGGTGTCAGTATTTCTCTTTTTCGTTGTCCAAGATATTCATGACGGTTAGCATGACAGGGTGCCGTTTATGAGCCAATTCTCCTGGATGCTGAGATCATACCATACAGGGTGTCGGTGTTTTTTCTTCTTCTTGGTCCATGAACACACACACACACACAGAGGAGTGCCGACACAAAGAATAAAGGCCCAACCTCCTTAAAATTATATAGGGAGCTCAAGTAGCCTAAGACATTGTTAAAGTGCGTAATAATAGAATAATGAACTGCTGAGTAGTAAATTAATGCAACTATATTTCTGAAATTATGTTATGTGTTAGTTAGTTA